AACATGCAAATGTGAGTAGATCAATAGGTACCTCTCTGGGGGGGAAGGTAATGGTGCTCCATGCAGTCATGCCGGCCACATGACTTTGGAGGTGTCTACGGACAATGCCGGCTCTTGGGCTTAGAAATGGAGATGAGCACCAACCCACACCCCAAGTCGGACACGACTGGACTTAATGTCAGGGGAACAATGTGGTTATGTGCATGTGTTGTAGTGTATTTTTTATTTTTTAGCTTTTTAAGTCTCTTCTGCTGTGTTTTTCAGGGGTTTTATGAGTGATGGTCGCTCTTTGGCCTGAGAGGTGTGTTGTGTCCAAATTTGGTGTCAATTCGCCCAGTGGTTTTTGAGTTGTGTTCATCCCCCAAACGAACATTACATTTCTATTTATATAGATTTACAGTATTTATATTCCGCCCTTCCCACCCCGAAGGGGACTCAGGGTGGGTCACAATACACATATACCTGGGAAACATTCAATGCCGTTTTTGACATACAAGACATACAGACAGATAGAGGCCATTTAGCAGTTCTTCTCAGTAACTGTGTGTTGTATATCAGCCTGTTCAGCCTGTGATTGTGTCTGCTGTTCATGTTGATGTTCATGATGGGAATGTGGCTGATGATCCGGTTTTTGGGCCGGGATCTGTTGGATTTGGGGATGAGGGGTCACTTGGGCTTGAATTGAGCTCAAAAGAGAGCTGCTGCTAGATGATTCTTCAAAGTCACCTGCTTGGGAAAGGCCTTTCCCCACTGTTTCCTGAGCAGCTGTCTGAGAATGAAGCTGATTTTGATTTACCAAGTGCAAGAATTAACCATGAGAGTGAGACCTTGAACCGAAAAAGAAGTTTTAGTAAACAGAGGCAGTAAGGCAGTCAGCTTGGATTCAACAAGCCAAAAGTAGCAAATAATGTATTCCTTACAGTTTTAGAGTGAGGGAGAATGCAAAGAATGTATTCCTTGCAGTTTTGGAGTCAGGGAAGGGTTTATAATGATTTGTGGAAGACAATTGCTTCAGTTGAGGCAACATAGGGATAACAGAAATAAAATTTGAAGAAAACGGCACTCTCTAACTTAACACCTTCCAAAGGTCTTGGACAAATGCCCCCATAATCCCCAAATCACATGGCCAGGTTTTTGGGTTTTTTTTTTGTCATGTCAGGAGCAACTGGAGAAACTGCAAGTCACTTCTGGTGTGAGAGAATTGGCCGTCTGCAAGGACGTTGCCCAGGGGACGCCCGGATGGTTTGATGTTTTTATCATCCTTGTGGGAGGCTTCTCTCATGTCCCCACATGAGGAGCTGGAGCTGATAGAGGGAGCTCATCCTGGTTTCGAACCTGCAACCTGTCAGTCTTCAGTCCTGCCAGCACAAGGGTTTAACCCACTGTGCCACCGGGGACTCCACATGGCCAGTGACCAATGGTCATGTAACTGGGAATGATTGGAGATGTCGCCCAACAGTTTATGTTTCCTTTGCTCTGAGTTTCAAGGTTTGCCAAGCTCATTTTTGCCTTTGGGATTTGCTTCCTGTGTTGTTCATGGATTCAAGTGCCCAGATTCATGGATTTCTCTTGACTCTTTGTTTCTGTTTTCCTTTGTAGCTGATAGACTAAATTGGATTTTGTACTTTTACTGTGGATTACTTTTTACTGCTTTGGCTACATATATTCTTCAATAAACTGCTTGCTGATTTTACCCAGCTGGTGTGGTGTTTAAGGTCGGAGGTGATTCTGCTCCGGAATATGACACTGTGGTCCCTCTCCCTCCATACAGGTGGAAGATATGGAACAAGGGCATCCCCCAGTGTCTGAACGTTTCATCCATGAACGAGCTGGAAAATCAAACCACATTTTCCTTCGTCAAAGGTGCCCTATTTGTGAAACGCGCTGTAAGCAAGTGAGTTGTGTGTAAAGGAGATGAAAGATTGTTCTGAAGAGACTTGTATTGGATACTTTTAATTGACAAACTGAGTGTTAGATTAAATATTCCAAGTGCTAATCATTGCGTTGGCCAGGAAATAGTTTTATGAAGAAAGTAAACGTTGAAATAAGCCGTGTCACTCACAGCCTCGCCAAAAATGCTCTCCTTTCCTACTACCTTTAGGACAATAGAGCTCAAGCTGAGAGGTTACTCTGATAGCAAACGATCCTGGGGGAACCTGGAGGACATCAAGAAGGTTTTCTGGTTCAGCAAGTCAGATACATCCAGTAAGCCCTGCTAAAATCCACATCTTGGAGACTATCCTATCTTTAAAATGTCCCAGTTCCTCTCTTTTCCTCCCACTTTTCCCCTTTGCCATCAGCTTACTTTATTTGTTTCAAACTGAGTTCTGTGTGTCAAAATAATTGGTACTTTTGACTTTTTGTAAATGGATGTTGCACAGTTGAATTCTTGTTGGCTCTTCTAGAATACGTCACAGAACACTGGAAAGAAGATGCCTTCTTTGGGTACCAATTCCTGAATGGACTGAATCCAAAAATTCTCCGGAAATGCACCAAAATCCCTCCAAATTTCCCCGTGACCCAGGAGATGGTGGCTAAGTCCCTTGGAGAAAACACCACGCTGGAGAAAGAGCTGAAGGTACTTGGTGGTCTGGGGGCCTATCCTGAGACAATGGGAGAGTTACTTTTTAATTATTTATGTATTTATTTATTTATTTACTTCATTTGTATACTGCTTTTCTCAGCCCTTAGGCGACTCAAAGCAGTTAACAACAGCAAAAATTCAATGCTAAACATCATAAAAACAGTTAAGGGACAGTTAAAACAGTAACAGTAAACAATTAAACATCAATATAACAACTCATTAGCGTCTCCTCAGTAGAATCTAGATCCAATCTCATCATCCATTATTCCGTATTCCTATATTCATTACACTGCCTAATCAAATGCCTGCTCGAACAACCAGGTCTTCACTTTCCTCCGAAATGCCAGAAGGGAGGGGGCCGATCTAATATCTGTAGGAAGGGCATTCTACAGCCGAGGGACCACCACTGAGAAGGCCCTGTCTCCCATCCCCGCCAGGCGTGCCTGTGTTGCAGGCGGGACTGAGAGCAGGACCTCCCTAGATGATCTTAATGTCCTAGCTGGTTCATAGGAAGAGATGCATTTGGACAGGTAAGTTGGGCCAGAACCGTTTAGGGCTTTATAGGCTAATGCCAGCACTTTGAATTGTGCCCAGTAGCAGACTTGTAGCCAGTGGAGCTGGCGCAACATAGGAGTTGTATGCTCCCTGAGTGCCGCTCCTGTTAGTATCCTGGCTGCCGAACGTTGGACCATTTGAAGCTTCCGAGCAGTCTTCAAAGGCAACCCCACGTAGAGAGCGTTGCAGTAGTCTATACAGGATGTAACCCGTATACTAAATACTCCCTCTGAAATTCATGCAGTGCCCATGCCACACTCTCCAATTGTCCCAATTTAGAAGGGGCTGTCTCAATTTATCCTCGGGTGTCCCACTTTTCCAGCTACACTTCATGCATCCTAGTTTCTCTGTCTTCCTCCCACTTTCACACTTTCTTCTCCCATTGCTGCAAACGGAGTTGAAAGGGCAACAGTAATTTGCACTTCAGTAATTCAGCAGGGGGAAGAAAGGAGATGAGGGGAAGAGTCTTCCCAGTAAGTTTTGGCAGAAGAAAATGGTTGAATGCAAAGTACAGAAAAAAGCTTTGCGTTACATTTACTTAGTGCTGGGAAGTGTTGGAGGGATTTTGAGGATTTTAGTCCAAGAAAATCCATACATTTCTTCAGATAACTAAAGGCGGCTCCTGGTGTTGGCAAACCCTTCGCTTCCCTCTTTGTTCAGAGTTTGAGTCTGACTTTCTCCTCCACAGAAGGGCAACATCTTCATTGTGGACTACCAGCTCCTGGATGATGTCCCGGTTGGGCTGATCAATGGACGCCACCAGTATATTGCTGCTCCTTTGTGCCTGTTGTACCTCTCCCCACGGAATCATCTCATGCCCTTGGCCATTCAGGTACTACGTTTCCTGAGTTGGGAATTGGCTTTTGTTTAGCAAAATGTGGCTCTGAAGGAGTCATTAGCAAAGGGGTTTTGTTTTACCCATGTGTCTGGCATGATGTTTGGAATGTTGTGTATCTGGTTTCTTTTCAAGTGTATCCTTACCTGCCTGCTTGAAACCACTTCATATATTAGGTCTCTGTCATACATGACGAAGAAACACAAACAATTGAGATGGCAAGTTAAAGTATGCATGCATTCAGATTTCTTTGTCTCCCATATATGGGAAGGTCTGCCCATGTTTGCCATGATTTATAAGTTAGCTATTTATATGTGTGTTTCTTATCTAAGAAAAGTGAAACTTAAAATAAGTATAAAAAGTCTGTAGCTACATCAGGAGGGGGTTTGGGAGAAATTTATCAGATATATCTGACTATTTGCCCTAGCTGTAATAAACTGTGCTTTTTCTTCGCTCAAGAAAGGTTTCTCAATTGGCTCTTGGTCAAAGTACCCTTTACTTGGGGGCTCGTCCGGGTTTCAATTTCTCTGTGTTGTTTTCCTGAGTTTCCTTGTTGACTCCAAAACCAAACCTGGTCATCAGTTGTAGGTTATGAAATCTTACAAATAATAATAGTAATAATAATAATAATAAGACTTTAGTACTCTGCTGCTGAGTACGCATGCCCAGTGTGGAACACATCTCACCACACTAAAACAGTGGATGTGGCTCTTAATGAGACATGCCGCATTATCACGGGGTGTCTGTGCCCTACACCACTGGAGAAATTACACTGCTTAGCCGGTATTGCACCACCTGACATCCGCCGGGAAGTAGCAGCCAATAGTGAAAGGACCAAGGCAGAGACATCTCCAGCTCATCCCCTGTTTGGTATCAGCCAGCATGTCAACAACTTAAATCAAGAAATAGTTTTCTAAGATCTACAGAGACACTCGGAACACCTCAGCAAGCGAGAGTCCAAAAGTGGCAGGCTCAAACCCAGAACCTCAATCAATGGCTGATACCAATGAGAGACTCCCCCTGGGCACACAGAAGACTGGGCAACTTGGAAGGCGCTGAACAGACTGCGCTCTGGCACCACGAGATGCAGAGACAACCTTGAGAAATGGGGCTACAAAGTGGAATCCACGACATGAGTGTGGAGAAGAGCAAACCACAGACCACCTGCTACAATGCAACCTGAGCCCTGCCACATGCACAATGGAGGACCTTCTTGCGGCAACACCAGATGCACTCCAAGTGGCCAGACACTGGTCAAAGGACATTTAATCAACTACCAAGTTTGCAAACTTTGTGGTTTTTTATCTGTTTGTTTGTTTGTTTTGTTCTGTTAGAAATGTAATGCAATGGTCTGGTTGCCCCTGACACGATAAACAAATAACACTTTATTTATATTCTGCCCTCACCCCAAAGGGAACTCAGGGCGGATCACAGCACACATACACAGCACACATTCAATGCTGCTTTGTATAGACAATACACAGACAGAACAGAAGGAGATGCCATGGAAGGTTAGGCTCGAGTCCAGGGAGCTGTTGCTCTATCCTGTATGATGAAGAGCCGTAAGGACTTCCTCCTTCTTTCTGGTCACCCAGCATTTTCTGATCTTCTTTCTTTATGGCATCGTAAAACACCTCCCCCACTTGTTTTAGCGGTACCTAATTCCTCTAATCACAGCTAAAGCTGTTTTCAAATTTCTTAAGTATACAGTGAGCTAGGTGACAGTTGGCAACTTTTTGGTTGATAGATCTTATAATTGCTGATGATTTACCAGCTGTGTTAAACCTCCTGCCCAAATGACTTTTCATTTTCATATGCGTGGAGAACTTACATCCTGTCTAACTCATGAAAGGATCAGGTAAAGTCTTAACTCACCACCTTTCAATGGAGGAGTAATATATGTCTGGAGATTAAAGGAGGAGCAGAGAGAGGCACCAGAAGAGAAGCAAGACTGAGGAGTTTACAGGTGCATCTATACAGCAGAATTAATGTAGTTTAATACCAATTTAGGCGCAAAGATTACTGCAGATGCAGACTGTGGCCAGGAAATCAGAAGACGCTTACTTCTTGGGAGGAGAGCAATGTCCAATCTCGATAAAATAGTAAAGAGTAGAGACATCACTCTGGCAACAAAGATCCGCATAGTCAAAGCCATGGTATTCCCTGTAGTAACCTATGGATGTGAGAGCTGGACCTTAGGGAAGGCTGAGCGAAGGAAGATCGATGCTTTTGAGCTGTGGTGTTGGAGGAAAGTTCTGAGAGTGCCTTGGACTGCGAGAAGATCCAACCAGTCCATCCTCCAGGAAATAAAGCCCGACTGCTCATTGGAGGGAAGGATACTAGAGACAAAGTGAAGTACTTTGGCCACATCATGAGGAGACAGGAAAGCCTAGAGAAGACAATTATGCTGGGGAAAGTAGAAGGAAAAAGGAAGAGGGGCCGACCAAGGGCAAGATGGATGGATGGCATCCTTGAAGTGACTGGACTGACCTTGAAGGAGCTGGGGGTGGTGACGGCCGACAGGGAGCTCTGGCGGGGGCTGGTCCATGAGGTCACGAAGAGTCGGAGACGACTGAACGAATGAACAACAACAATACCAATTTAACTGGGTTCTCTCTGTTGAGCACAGAAATCTTCTGATGCCATAACCACTGATTTATTCTGCATGGGAGAATTCTGAGACTTTCCAAATTCTGGTTTGAGCTAGGTTTATGCCAAACTCTTCTATCCTGTTTGAGCCTTTCAGGAGTCCCATGTAATCACAAACTCTTCTATCCTGTTTGAGCCTTTCAGGAGTCCCATGTAATCAGGCCTGTAGCGAGGGGGTGGTTTTGTTTTAGGTTAGTTTAGGTTTTGTATGTTTTTTATTTTGTTTGGTTTGTATATATCAGTGTTTCTCAACCCCTGTGGGCAGGCCTGTAGCGAGGGGGTGGTTTTAGGGGTTCAACCCCCCCCCCGAAATGTTTCAGATTTTTTTTTTAAAAAAAACCTGGTTTACTCATGAATTTTAACTGGTTAACCAAATCCCCATGCTAAGTCTATGAGATGCAAAAAATTAAGAGTCCCTCCAGAACTGTAAGCACTATCTCAAGCAAATATTGACAATTTATTCACACTGTCATTACTTGCAGCAATAGCAGATGTAGTGAAGCAACCAAGCAACTCATTAAGGAGGCCAGACTTGGTGGAGGTGGTTGACAGGGGTGGAGCTGCAGGCTATTGAAGGTTGCTCTGCCCCTGCTGTGCTCTTTGCTTCAGCGTGAGCTAGGAGGCAGGTTTCAACCCCCCCCCCCGCGAAATTTCAACCCCTCCCGCCCCGAAATTTTTTTCTGGCTACGGCCCTGCATGTAATGTTGTGTTCTCTTCTCTTTGTGTAGCTCAGCCAGATGCCTGGGCCACTGTCACCCATCTTCCTGCCCAGTGACCACGAATGGGACTGGATCCTGGCAAAAACCTGGGTGCGCAATGCTGACTTCCACGCCCATCAGGCTGTTGCACATCTGCTCCAGACACACCTGTTGGCAGAGGTGTTTGCGATGGCTACCATCCGCCAGTTGCCCATGTGCCACCCGATCTACAAGGTGAATGCTATAAAGCTTTTAGCAGTATAATCATGCTAATGCTTCCCTCCGATATAGTGTGGCCCTCCAAAGCCCACTGTTTTCCAACCTGAAAACTAGCCACTAGAGTAGGCATGAGCAATCTTCAGCCCTCCAGGTGTTTTGGACTTCAACTCCCACAATTCCTAACAGCTTGGTCAGGGGCTGGGATAAAAATGGAACCACAGGATTTAAAGGCCATCTTAATTCTCCCCCTTTCCCTCTGCAGCTCCTGATCCCTCACATGCGCTACACCTTTCACATCAACACTTTGGCCCGGGAGAGTCTCATTTCAAAAGGAGGGATCTTTGACCAGGTAAATGGATTTTCATTTGTATTGGGTACATCTACACTTCTCAGTATTTTCATACCATGGCAGCATCTTATGGAATCCTGAGATTTATAAAGTTGTGAAGTACGAAGAATTCAGTGCTATAATTCAAAGGAATGTGGAGGCTTCTAAGTACATACTTAAACTACAGCTTCCAAGATTCTGTGTCAAATTCAGCTCCATCTCTAGAAAATCCAGCCCCATTTCTAGAAAATCCAACCTATCTTTTAAGGTTGTGAATCAAAAACGGATCTCTCGGATGTCGTAAGTTTTTTTGGAACATCCGAAGGGGTTTCTGATATGCATACGCACGTCCACCGCAATGTTTAGATTTTGAACATTTTAAAGTCATTGTTCAGATGTCCACGGAAGTGTTCAGATGTATGACTTAGCTAACTGTACTAGTCAAGCAAGCCTGCTGGCTGAGAGGTGAAGCCTAGCAATAGGGCTTGCTTCTCAGCCAATCAGGCCTTAAGTTTGAGGGAGGGAGTGGGGTTATCACAGCGTTTGGTCACCATTAACCTTTATAACCTAGAGCCTCCAGTGGCGCAGTTGGTTAAAGCACTGAGCTGCTGAAAGGTTGGCAGTTCGAATCTGGGGAGCAGCGTGAGCTTCTGCTGTCAGCCCCAGTTTCTGCCAACCTAACAAAAACATGCAAATGTAAGTAGATCAATAGATACCGCTCCGGCGGGAAGGTAATGGTGCTTCATGCAGTCATGCTGGCCACATGACCTTGGAGGAGTCTGTGGACAACGCCGGCTCTTCGGCTTAGAATGGAGATGAGCACCACACCCCAGAGTCGGACACGACTGAACTTCATGTCAGAGGAAAACCTTTACCTAACCTTTGTAAACCCGGCTGCATGGCAAGCAAACCTCATTCTGCCAGGGAAAGAGATGGTGGTGGGTCGCTGGTTGCTGGCTCATTGTTTCATGCTTGCACTTGGGGAGGGAAGGGAGAAAAGGGAGAATGAAGAAGGAATAGCAATTGGGAGAGAGATTTTAGAGGGATAGAGAGAGAAAGAAGAAAGGGAGAAAGCTGGGTTGTGAGCTTTCCGGGATGGGGGGGAATGACCCCCTATTACCTTATGTCATTCTCTAGAAAATTCAAGGAGGTTGCTCTTTTATTTACTTTTAAGAATGTATTTCATAATTTTTTTTAAAAAAAAAATCCCTAAAATTAGTGGATCATCTAAACATTCTGAAATTTGGTGAGGTGTGAGCTAACAGTGGAGTATATGTTCTACCACTGTAGCAAATTTGATCAGGATAGCTCAAAAAATGAGGGTGAGAGGAGCCCCTGAAGTTTCCCCCTTCCAGTGCTGTTTTCCCTATTGCACATGTGCATCCGCCATTAATGAAGCACTTATGAAGATTTGGAAGATTCATAAAGTTTCAAAACTTTTACCCTCAAAATTCAGAAAGGACTTTAGAAATGAAGCACCAGAGCCCCCTACTTTTGAACACAATTCAGAACCAATATTTTTGTATTACACATGCCTACTATCTTTGTCAAATCCAGCCCTATCTCTATCAAATCCAAACCCTGTCTTAATCAAATCCAGCCCTATCACTGTCAAACCCAACTTTATATTCCTTTTGAAGTCTGTTGATGGACAAAACAGTTCTTTCCTAGAGAACCCTTGTGTACTTCACTGAAGAAAGAGACTGTCACGGTCATCTGTTTAGTTCTGAAAATGGAGATCTCCAAAAGGCAGACATGGATAGTGCTGTTGGGGGAGGTCAATTTGCTAATTATTTTTTAAAAAAAACAAAACAAGAAGATGTTGCAATCCAGTCGTGAAAGAATAACGAATTCTGCACCTGAAAAATTGCAAAATATTGTCTGCAGCTCTGAATTTTCCTATCCCTTCCTATTGTAGTACACTGCTGTTGGTTATGAGGGCTTAGTGGAAGTGTTGCAAAGAGGAACCCGAGCCTTGACCTTGACGTCGCTCTGCCTTCCGGACGATCTGCAGGCTCGCGGGGTGTCCTCATTGCCCCATTACTACTACAAAGAGGATGGCCTGAAGCTCTGGGCAGCCATGGAGAGGTTAGTCAGGGGCCATTGTGGTGACTCATATGTTATTTATCTGTATCTAATTATGTTGCACTTGATGGGCCTTAGGAAGTCTTGTGGTCATTTTATTGCTGCCAGGTTATTGTGAAATCTTTCAGAGTTAGGGAAAATCCCTTAATTTTCAACTACTACTCATATCACCCAGAGACAATAATTGGGACTTGAAGAACTTTACAAATTATTCAAGGGTCTGGAGAACAAGCCCTATGAGGAGCAGCATAAGGAGATAGTCATGTTTAGCCTGAAGAAGAGAAGGCTGAGAGGAGATATGATAGCCATGTATAAATATGTGAGATGAAGCCACAGTGAGAAGGGAGCAAGCTTGTTTTCTGCTTCCTTGGAGACTAGGACACAGAAAAATGGCTTCAAACTACAAGAGAGGAGATTCCATCTGAACATGAGGAAGAACTTCCAGACTGTGAGAACCGTTCAGCAGTGGAACTCTCTGCCCCAGAGCGTGGTGGAGGCTCCTTCTTTGGAAGCTTTTAAACAGAGGCTGGATGGCCATCTGTCAGAGATGATTTGAATGCAATATTCCTACTTCTTGGCAAGGGGTTGGACTGGATGGCCCATGAGGTCTCTTCCAACTCTTTGATTCTATGATTTTATGATTCTATTATCCACACGTGCACACAAAAATTGCCAATTATGTTGGTTTTCTTTAGCCACACTGGCTGGCAAAATCTGGGAGTTGTAGTCCAAGAGAAGGAACTTTTTCCAACTTTAGTACTGACACACATGTTGGCCCCAGGAGCATAGATATGGTTTGCTAATTTCAGTGTGTGGTCTAAATGCAATTTCCTAGCATTCTGGATTGGTGAGAGATCAAGGGATGCTGGTGAACTCCATCCTGATGGTCCTCTCATGTCTTTTCCTCTCTTAGCTTTGTCTCTGGCATCATCAACTTGTATTATCCAAATGATCACTCTGTGCAGGAAGATTGTGAGCTGCAGAAGTGGATGGAGGAGGTCTTTGAGAAAGGCTTTCTGGCACAAGAGTCTTCTGGTAAGGCTGCCTCTCCTTATCCGAACATGGGATAAATATCTGCAATCAATTTATATAAGCAAATTTGCTCTTGCTGCTGTTATATTCGTATTCCTTCCTTTCCCAAAACTGGGACTCATGGTGCTGATCATAAAACAGTGGAACAGGAAAGGAAATACAGAATAGGTAAAATGGCAGTACAGGACTTTCTGGGCCAGATGAAGTATAAAAAAAACTGGCAGAAGTAATATCAGAACCACTGATAATCATCTTTGAGAATTCCTGGAAAACAGGAGAAATTCCAGCAGACTGGAGGAAGGCAAACATTGTACCATCTTGAAAAGGTGTGTATGGGGGAAGAGGATTTAAACAATGACCCCATGACATTCCCCAAAAGAAGCTAGTAAAATGTAGGCCATTCAACATATTTATCTATGACTTGGACAATGGAGTTGAAGGCACACTTATCAAATTTGCAGATGACACCAAATTGGAGGTGGGGGCTAGCAAATATCCTCGATTTCACAAAGCCCAGATCCCATTTTCAAACAGGAGATTAGCAAATGGCCCAAGTCCAAACCACAGAATCCAGCTGAAAGGCAACTACAGCAGGGAATAAGATCAAGGAAGCCAATAGTCCATTCCAAGATCCAAAACTGATTCCAACCCTGACATTTGGATTTTTGGATTAATCCTTGACTCTAGACCAGGCATGGGCAAACTTGGGCTCTCCAGGTATTTTGGACTTCAACCGGCTATTAGGAATTGTGTTGAGTTGTAGTCCGAAACACCTGGAGGGCCCAAGGTGTGCCAACTGTGACCGTACCTCGTGAAGGCGGATCTGGCCAGGGTGGTCCGTGCCTTAGTCACCTACAGATTAGACTACTGTAATGCACTCTACGTGGGACTGCCCTTGCAAACGGCCCGGAAATTCCAATTGGTCCAACGGGTAGCGGCCATATTGTTAAATGGTGCTCCTTACAGGGAGAGGTCAACCCTCCTGTTTAAGGAGCTCCATTGGCTGCCATTCATTTTCTGGTCTCAATACAAGGTGCAGGTGCTTACCTACAAAGCCCTAAACAGTTTGGGACCCGCCTACCTGCGTGACCGCATTTCAATATACGAACCCACATGATCTCTTTGATCTTCTGGAGAGGCCCTGCTCACGATCCCACCTGCATCGCAGGCGCGATTGGTGGGGACAAGGAACAGGGCCTTCTCTGTGGTGGCCCCTTGACTCTGGAACTCACTCCCCAAGGATATCAAGCATGTCCTGACGTTGGCAGTCTTTAGGAGGAGCTTGAAAATGTGGCTGTTTCAGTGTGCCTTCCCAGAATAGGAAACTCCAAGCACCTTGTCCCAAATGCACTTTACTAGAGATCTAGGACTATCTGCACGTCCTACCTATCTCCAAAACATCCATCCATTTTACCCGGTCATGCCCTGCTTTTAAAAATTTTAATCATTGCATTAGGCCCTGACATTGGTTTTAATTGTGTCATGTTCTTATTGTTATGTTTATTGCTTGAGTTTTATTTACTGCTGTATTGTTGTTTGTCTTGTTTATTGTTGTATTGGGCCTCGGCCTGTTGTAAGCCGCACTGAGTCCTTTGGGAGATGGTAGCGGGTTATAAATAAAGGATTATTATTATTATTATTATTATTATTATTATTATTATAGAGTCAAGGATTAATCCAAAAATCCAAATGCCAGAGTTCAAGAGATAGTCCAAAGTCCAGAAATCACAAACAGCCCAAGGTCACAACTCCAAATGCTGACGTTGCTGCCAGCAACAAGATTCCACACTTGAGCACATTTCATGCTAGTTACTCAGGTGTTGGCTACTGATGGCTCATTTTTCTGCTAACCTGGAGAACCTGCAAAATTGATCCTTCTCCCTCTACAAGTTTAAAAGAACCAGAACACTTATCCCCTCGTCTGCCTGCTCAGATTAACTTCCTTGTACTTGCTCTTCAGGCTGAGAAGTGGTAGCTTCCTCCATAGGCTCTTCTTCCAAGCTCAGCTGAGAAAGCTGCAGGGCACTGCTAGGCTCCTCCTCACCGTCACTATCAGAGCGATCCATGACAGAGGACAAGATCAGAATCCAAAATGGCTTCAACAGATTAGAGAGCTGGACCATAAAAATGAAAATGAAAGGCACAGATATAGCATGGGTGACACTTGGCTTGAAAACATTCCATGTGAAAGAAATCTGGGAATCTTGGCAGAATACAAACTGAGGATGTGTCAACAGTGCCATGTGGCAACTCAAAAAGCCAATGTAATTCTAGGCTATATCAATAGGATTAAATGTCTAGATCAAGTGATTCTATAGTTCCCCTCTCTTCTGCTTTGGTCAGGCATCACTTGGAAGAATACAATGTCCAGTTCTGCTGATGAGGAGATATTGGAAAAATATATATTTATTTATGTATAAATTGTATGTACTTTACAAGCACTGAAATGTATAGAAAAATCAGGTTTTCTCTGCATCCGAAATCCAAGCTGCTGTCCAGGCACAGCAAGAGGGAGGGGAACTAGGATGGGCCAGAGAGATAAGCCCATCCTAGTAGCAACAGAGACTGGTACAACTAGGCTCTAAGGAAAGAGCCAATACCTCTCCCTCTTGACAAGTCAAATTAGGCCCCTTGATTGATGAATGTAAGCTGTATGCTGCTCTTCAAGAAAGAAATACACAGAGACATGCCTTTTGTATGGTGGAAGATAGAATTTGATATTCCTATGATGCTAAAGTGACGTAGAGAATGATGTCAATGTATGTAGAAGCATGTTCTTTGTTTCGCTGCAATTGGAGGGTATAAAAAGGCCGTCAACACCTATATCGGGGCTCTGGATGCTTTTGGATAAAGCTCAACTCCAGAGCCCCAGCTGGAGATAAAATCCGTGCTTTTGAGACCTCTGAAACTCTCTTTGTCTATTTTCCTCAAACTTTCTCCCTGCCATTTCACTGCACAATAGATATAAGACAAGCCAAAGTATCCTTGTGATCCTTTATAGAGGACTCAGAATTTGATTTCTGTTGTGAATGTGCATCTTCTTTTTCCAGGCATCTCTTCCTCATTCACTTCTGTGCAAGAGCTGAAAAAATTCCTGACTATGGTGATATATACTGTTTCAGTCCAGCATTCAGCGGTCAACAGTGGACAGGTAAGAGGAAGGATGTCATTGTTCCAAATAACCCATAATGCACACCACATGCTTAACCTGCATTTGATTAACCATCATGGCATTTTGTGAAAGAAAATAGGAGTTGGAGCATGGAAGAGGATGCAACAGCTTTCTGGAAACCATCACTAGAGACGAGACAAATATGCAGACATGAACATCACCCAAATTGCACCATTGATTTCCCAGTGTCTGCTTTAAGAAAGCCCTTTCCTTAAAAGCTTCACATCTAAAAGAGAGTCAAAATAAGAAGCTCTGTAGTGGTTGGGGAAGGACCATAAGGACAGGATGGTGTTCTATCTCCCTGGGGCAGGAGTTCTAGTTCCTTGGGGAAACCACCACCCTATAACTGTATGTCACATTCTTAATATTTTGATTTTGGATAGTTTGATTTTGGTGCCTGGATGCCCAACTTTCCATCATCGATGAGGAAACCTCCTCCGGCCACCAAAGGGACAGCGAACGCGGAGAACTACAAAGACACCATCCCTGAGATCAACATCACATGCAGCATTCTCAGCACCCTATGGCTGCTCAGCGCCCCAACGGGAGATGCGGTGAGTGACCAAGGAATGGCCAAGGCTCCTTGAAGATGAGACATGGGTCTATGTAGCATGAAAGTCCACTCCTCCATTACACAAGGCCCAGTTCTTATATATGAACTAGGGAGGTCCTAAGCATTGCAGGTAGGATCCCCAGATTGCACAGTTTGTCCCTGATGGTACATCTCCACTGTCGGATTAATGCATTGGCACTGTGACAGAACAAGGGGTAAAAAGGCCCCTCACCCTTTGAAAAACGAAACTATCAAGGCCCCTTGTACACAGGCCGGTAGCCAGGATTTTGATTTGGGGATCCCTAGAGGAGTGTTTTTCAAGGTTAGAAGAATAGCATTTTAATGTGTGCACACCCAATCCAGATAATGTGGAGGGGTTGACTGTCGCGCACTAGGACAGGAACACCTTTCCACCTGGTATCAAACAGAGTTCAGTAGTCGCTAACTACAGAAGTTTATTTACAAAAGGCATATACAAAAGGGGGAAAGGGCCTTTCTCCAAAGGCAGTAGAAAAGCTGCTATAAAAACTATAAAGATCAATAGCCCAAGATTGTAATGTCCATGAAATCCAGGGTGGCAAGAAACATGAAGTCCACAGTAGCAAAGTACATGAAGTCCAGAATAACAAGGTACATGAAAATCCAAGAAGTCATAGCACAGTCGAAAATCCATAGCATAAAAACAAGAATGTAAGCAAGGCAAAAATCCATACATAGGCAAACTTGAGAGCTGGTCATGAATGTGAAGTTAAAGCGAAGTTGTCTGCTCTGAAGAGCCCCGGGAAGCACCACTAATTTAAGCTCAAACATGACCCATCAAACATGAAATCATCTTTTCTGCACCTGTGTTTCAAGGACTGTTTCTCATAAATTCTTTCTGACCTTGTAATTAACCTTCCCTTAGCTCGCTCTGAGCAGAGCCTTAATCTCATATCACAGGCAACTCCCCATATTCTGAAGGCTGAGGCCCGTCCACACAGCCTCATATCCCAGAATAGTAAAGGTAACGGTTTTCCTCTGACATTAAGTCCAGTTGTGTCTGACTCTGGGGGTTGGTGCTCATCTCCATTTCTAAGCCAAAGAGCCAGCGTTGTCCGTAGACACCTCCAAGGTCATGTGGCCGGCATGACTGCATGGGGACCGTTACCTTCCTACTGTAGTGGTACTTATTGATCCACTCACATTTACATGTTTTCAAACTGCTAGGTTGGGAGAAGCTGGGGCTAACAGTGGGAGCTCACGCTGCTCCCCAGATTTGAACCTGTGACCTTTCGGTCAGCAAATTCAGCAGCTCAGCACTTTAACCCACTGCGTCACCAGGGGCTCCATATATCCCAGAATATCAAGGCAGAAAATCCCACAATATCTGCTTTCAACTGGGTTTTCTGAGTCCACACTCAGATGTGGGATTTTCTGCCTTGATATTCTGGGATATAGGGCTGTGTGGAAGGGCCCTGAGAAGCCCGGGCAGACCGATTCTCAAGAGAAACATCTTCTATGTCTTCTGCAGCTATTAGCCCTGGCCTATCTCTGTGATCTGTGGCCTTCATTTCCTTATGTGTCGCAACCTGAGGAACAGACACAGACTCAGTGAAAATCGTATCCTCAGAATCAGAATCTCCAGAATCCTGCTGAACCCCAACATTGACTGTAATTCCTTTTTTTAAAGGTTGCTTTGCAAAATCTGGGGGGTGGCTCTGTGGCTATAGCTCGTCTATATTTCTCCAGTGTGTTATCTCCCTCTCTTCTCTCATGTTAAAATTCTTTTCAACACCAGGTACGGTTGGGCAATTACCCGGAGGAGCATTTCACGGAAGAGGCACCCAAAAAACTCATTGTTGCCTTTCGAGAAGAACTGAAGAGGATTTCAAGGGAAATTGAGCAGAGGAACAAGTCCTTGCCCAACATGGGTGGACCTGTCCTTTGTGGTTACAATTACCTGAACCCCCCAGAGATTGAGAACAGCGTCTCCATCTAAATAGCAGTGGGGAAATCACCTCTAACAAATGTTTCTCCAGTCTGTCTGTTTCTGTAAGATAAGTTCAGTAATGTAGTTAACAAAAAGCAAAAGCACATGACAGATCCTGACAATCTTTCCTCACCTCGGTCAGATGCTCAGCAAGCAAAGTCCTAACTCCATGCACCACTTCACACTACTATTGATTTTCAGTGGCCAAAAATGCCTGGCAAGAGCTGTCCATCCTGACATCTTGCAAATATCAGAAGAAAGATCCTCATTACATTTCCATGTTGCAGTCTCATTGGCTTTTGAGGAGGGGCTCTAGTAGAAACATCACCCACCTGCATTCCGAACCACAACAATACGGAGCTTCTCCTCTCGGAGCAGATTATTCTCAGCATTTGGAGATGGTGAGCTTGGAGTTACTCTATTTCCATGGTGTCTGCATCCACGAATGCCACAACCAATAACCTCATAATATTGCCCCAAATCCCAAAAAAGCAAGCCTTGATTTGGCCACTTTATATAAGTGTTGGGAATAAGCCAAAGAAGGATAAGCTTATTTAGAAAGTGTTTGTGATAAATGATGAGGCTTTGTCTAAGATCCTATGAAATTCAAAGAATTTGAGTTGACCTACCCTTAGGTAAGAATTAGGTAAATTTACAAATAGGGAAATAATGGACAAGTGAAATATGGAGAGCACCTTTTGTGTGGTGGAGGCTCCTTCTTTGGAATCTTTTAAACAGAGGCTGGATGGCCATCTGTCAGGGATGATTTGAATGCAATATTCCTGCTTCTTGGCAGAATGGGGTTGGACTGGGTGGCCCATGAGGTCTCTTCCAACTCTTTGATTCTATGATTTTATGATTCTATAACCAAAGCACGTCTTTCAATAATGCATACATGTATTTCACCTGTAATCCAGTTACAGAACTTGTTCACACATGTTATTTGTATTGCTTTAAAAACTATACAAGCATGAAGCCTGGAGGTATTTAAGGTCTGAGATATGCCTTGAGCCTTGCTCTCACTGTAAACAATAAATATAATTTGTCATTTGTAAAAGATTAACTGGCATGAGTTTCCTAGAGAACCAGATATAATAGCACTGGATAACATATTTCAATAGCACGCATACAAACACTTTAGAAGGCAATGTTCTTGCCCCAAGATTCCTCCACTTTGCCTTGAGAATGGGAGAAAAGTGTCCAGGCTCTGAGACTGAGGACTAGACCCTCCTGTCAAGGAACCCAACCTCAGTCTATGTGACAAAACTGCAAGACACATTGTTAAAATGTTGTTGTTCATTCGTTCAGTCGATCTCCGACTCTTCGTGACCTCATGGACTAGCCCACGCCAGAGCTCCCTGTCGGCCGTTACCACCCCCAGCTCCCTCAAGGTCAGTCCAGTCACTTCAAGGATGCCATCCATCCATCTTGCCCTTGGTCGGCCCCTCTTCCTTTTGCCTTCCACTTTCGCCAGCATCATTGTCTTCTCTAGGCTTTCCTGTCTCCTCATGATGTGGCCAAAGTACTTCAACTTTGTCTCTAGTATCTTTCCCTCCAGTGAGCAGTCGGGCTTTATTTCCTGGAGGATGGACTGGTTGGATCTTCTCGCAGTCCAAGGCACTCTCAGAACTTTCCTCCAACACCACAGCTCAAAAGCATCGATCTTCCTTCGCTCAGCCTTCCCTAAGGTCTAGCTCTCACATCCGTATGTTACTACAGGGAATACCATGGCTTTGACTAGGCGGATCTTTGTTGATTTGCTTTAGGGTCACCATAAATCAAAAATTACTCTGGGAGTCCCATCTTCCAATGGCATACCGACATATCTCTGTTGTACTGGTCCATTTAGTTTTCTTGGCAAGGATACTGGAGTGGTTTGCCATTGCCTTCCCCAGGGATCACGCTTGGTCTGACCTCTCTGCCACAACCGTCCCGTCTTGGGTGTCCCTTCACGGTTTCGCTCATGACATCATTGAGGTGCTCAAGCTCCAGCGCCCCGACAAGGCGGTGATCCTTTGCTGGAGTATTGTAGTGCAATGGAAATAGAATGCAAGACTAATGCAAATAAATGCAAAAGTATTGAGGTGCAATGTTCCCAAATAGAATATCACCTAAATCTCACCGCCAGCTAGTCATAACAACACATCTCACTACGCTAAAACAACCGTGGATGTGGCTCTTAATGAGACATGCCGCATTATCATGGGTTGTCTGCGCCCTACACCACTGGAGAAATTACACTGCTTAGCCGGTATTGCACCACCTAACATCCGCAGGAAAGTAGCAGCCAATAGTGAAAGGACCAAGGGAGATATCTCCAGCTCATCCCCCGTTTGGGTATCAGCCAGCACGTCAATGACTTAAATCTAGAAATAGTTTTCTAAGATCTACAGAGACACTCGCTGGAACACCTCAGCAAGCGAGAGTCCAAAAGTGGCAGGCTCAAACCCAGAACCTCAACCAATGGCTGATACCAAATGAGAGACTCCCCCCTGGGCACACAGAGGACTGGGCAACTTGGAAGGCGCTGAACAGACTGCGCTCTGGCACCACAAGATGCAGAGCCAACCTTCAGAAATGGGGCTACAAAGTGGAATCCTCGACATGCGAGTGTGGAGAAGAGCAAACCACTGACCACCTGCTGCAATGCAACCTGAGCCCTGCCACATGCACAATGGAGGACCTTCTTGCAGCAACACCAGAAGCACTCCAAGTGGCCAGATACTGGTCAAAGGACATTTAATCAACTACCAAACTCACACACTTTGTATTTTCTCTTTGTTTGCTTTGTTCTGTTAGAAATGTAATATAATTGACTGGTTGCCCTGACACGATAAATAAATAAAACCCCGCCCTTCTCAACCAAGAAGAAGCCACCAAGGTATTTTATCAAATCAGCTGAAGTGATGCCAGCGTGCAGTAATCCGCCAAAGTAAGCTGAGATGCCATTGCATTGAAAAATAGACATTTTTATACAATACAATACTTTGATTTTAGTAAGGAGACACTGATTATTTATGTTTTATTGGTTGTGTATGGTTTTTATATGTATGCTAAATGTTTTTAATTGTATTTTTATTTCTGTTGGGGCATTGAATTGTTGCCGACTGTAAACTGCCCTGAGTTGTCTTCGGGCTGAGAAAGGTGGTATACAAATATCGTAAATAAATAAATAAATTGAAATTCCCACCCGGTCCAGCTGGCCCTGGCTTCACCGTGATTGGCCAGGCTCCGATGACGTCAGAGCAGCTGAAGGAGGATTCCCTGCAGAGGTGGGACTGCAGCGCCTGATGGCCAATAAGAGAGTGTTCCCCATTCCCAATGCAGATTCCTTCTCTCCATTGGCCGATGAGGAGCAGGATGGAAACTTCAGACAAAGGAGACATAGTTTCATGGTTGGATGACATTGTCCCACCTCTGAGAAGAAATTGGGTAGCCAATACTCCAGAGGACAGGAGCAGAATTCAATACAATCTGAACAGATTAGAGAGAGGCCAAAACTAACAAAATGAATTTCAACAGTGACAAATGCAAGATACTCCACTTAGGCAGGAAAAACGAAATGCAAAGATACAGAATGGGGGACAATGCCTGGCTCGAGAGCAGTACGTGTGAAAAAGATCTTGGAGTCCTCGTGGACAACAAGTTAAACATGAGCCAACAATGTGATGTGGCGGCAAAAAAAGCCAATGGGATTTTGGCCTCCATCAAGAGGAGCATAGTGTCTAGATCTAGGGAAGTCATGCTCCCCATGCTCTATTGCCTTGGTTAGACCACACCTGGAATATTGTGTCCAATTCTGGGCACCACAATTCAAGAGAGATATTGACAAGCTGGAATGTGTCCAGAGGAGGGCAACTAAAATGATCAAGGGTCTGGAGAACAAGCCCTATGAGGAGCGGCTTAAAGAGCTGGGCATGTTTAGCCTGAAGAAGAGAAGGCTGAGAGGAGACATGATAGCCATGTATAAATATGTGAGAGGAAGCAACAGGGAGGAGGGAGCAAGCTTGTTTTCTGCTTCCCTGAGACTAGGACACAATGGAACAATGGCTCCAAACTACAGGAAAGGAGATTCCACCTGAACATTAGGAAGAACTTCCTGACTGTGAGAGCTGTTCAGCAGTGGAACTCTCTGCCCTGGAGTGTGGTGGAGGCTCCTTCTTTGGAGGCTTTTAAACAGAGGCTGGATGGCCATCTGTCAGGGGTGCTTTGAATGCAATTTTCCTGCTTCTTGGCAGAATGGGGTTGGACTGGATGGCTCATGAGGTCTCTTCCAACTCTAGGATTCTATGATTCTATGATACCCCTTATTCTATGAGTTCTATAGTTGTGATGATTGTCTTTAAGAACCCTGAACGTACGGGTCTGGTGACTGCACCGGTGTCCTTTTTATTTCAAAACAGCATATTGTCCATGATGATAGGATTCTGAATCTGTTCCAGGGAAAAGGGGGAATGGCAATGGGGAAAGCAAGGCAAGTCATCCCAACATCAGGGAAGAAAATGCCAGGTGATAAATATATTTACATATGTCCATGTGTCTGCACAAAGGATAGGTGGTCTGACTCCGAAGCCTATTGTCTTTTGCACAGTCAGTGGTATAGGTCACAGATGATGGGTGATTGAGTCCTTTGTAAGTAGGTGATGACCGGGAAAACGGTTGGAGGGAATTCCCAGGTCAAGAGATGCCAATGAAAAGGTCACCAAGGTCATGCTGAGTGACTTCATTCCCTGAAGTTTTATATCAAGAATTAAAACCCTATACGGTTCCGGCCCGGCGTATCTGTCCGAATGGATCTCCCTCTACGTCCCACCTCGGAGTTTAAGATCTTCTGGGGAGGCCCTGCTCTCGGCCCCGCCTCTATCACAAGTGAGATTGGCGGGGACGAGGAGCAGGGCCTTCTCGGTGGTGGCCCCTCACCTATGGAATTCACTCCCCGGGGAAATTAGATCAGCGACATCCCTCCTTTCCTTTAGAAGGAAATTAAAAACATGGATGTGGGACCAGGCGTTTGGGCAATCTGGCAGATAAATAAAGGACTGCGACGACGGATAGGAATAGACAATGTGGAACGAAGTATGGACTCTGAGTTGGCGAACGCTGTGCATGAGATTGGCTATTGACTGTGATATATATTGTTGTTTTAATTGTTTAACTGTTTAACTGCTGTTTTTATACGTTTATTGTATTATTGTGTAGGCATCGAATTGTGCCATTTTGTAAGCCGCCCTGAGTCCCCCCTCGGGGGTTGAGAAGGGCGGGGTAGAAGTATACGAAATAAATAAATAAATAAATAAAATATGAGATATTAAGCAAAAACACACACACGAGGGGCCCGTGGATAGCGAGGGAACCCAAAAACTTTGGGGGCCCAGTATCCATGGGGAGAGGGAGGCACGTATGCAGGGGATCCATGGAACCCGACAATTTTGGAGGCCCAGTATCTGCGGGGAGGCATGTATGCAGGGGATCCATGTATACCAAGAGGGACCCAACGGCTCTGGAGACTCTGGGTATCCACGGGGGTTGGAGGTTGGTGAGGATGACTCCAGGGGATGAGAAGGAGGTTAGTGTGGGGGAAACGGGGAGAATGAGCTCTACTCCCAGGATTGTGGAGGGCCTTGGGGGCCATGTTACCCAGGTGGTCCTTGGGCCAGCTGCAGAGGGCAGAAGTGAAAGGACTCGAGAAGGTGAAAGGAGATACAAAGAGGCAAAAGTTAAGGATAACCGTGTTTATTCGGGGGTTAGAAATAATATAACTATAAAAAGTGGGATGATGGTTGCTAAAAGTAACAAAACCTTTCCTGGGTGTCGGTAGCTGCTGCTGTGCTCCTCCATAGAGGCATAGGATCATAGAATCCATAGAATCCTTGAGTTGGAAGAGACCTCGTGGGCCATCCAGTCCAAGAAGCAGGAAAATCACATTCAAAGCACCCCTGACAGATAGCCATCCAGTCTCTGTTTAAAAGACTCCAAAGAAGGAGCTGTGCCGTCCGCCCAGACGATATAAAAAATAAAACTGCGACGTGCTTCTCTCTATGCCTGAGCAAACTGCAAGTATCTATCTTGCAGGTTTTAAACATCAAAAAAGGATATTATACAAAGTCCTTGAAGACTTGGCACAGTTCACCAAAGTTGTAAACAAACAGTCAATAGATGAAGCTATCAAAATATTCTTTCTTTTCTTTCGTTACAGAGGTAACCTTTTCTCCAGATGGCAGATAAGATCCTGGAATCTTTACACCCTAACCTTAAGCTGTTGTGGTTTAGAAAAAAGCAGGTTTTTCCCTATCTATAACTTAAGGTCAGTCCTGGAGACAAAGCAGTCACGACTCCCTCTCTATAACTATAACTCAATCTTCTCAACTAAGCTTATCTGTCTAAAATATCTCAATACAGCTCAATACACAATATACTATCTATATTAACTCAATATAGCTTAATACTTATCTATAATGTATATATACTATCTATAGCAATACTTATCTATAATGTATAATATACTATCTACAGCTTAATATAGCTTACTCAATTTAGTTTTGCAATGGCTTCCCCAGAGCTAATCGCCTAGCCATCAGCACGTCTGAAGTCTTTCCTCAAACTGAAAAGGCAGGGGTAAATCTAAAATGGAGATCTTTCCCTGGGAGAAAAGGCGGTCCCTAAACTCAAAGAGCTGCTTTCAACTAATAGCTGCAAAGGAGGCCTGCAGACTCTGATACTATTAACCTTTAGGGCTCTTGCAAAGCTGCAGCAGCAGCCCTGGGAGAAAATGCAAGAGGAAGCAACCTCAAGCAACTTTAAAGTAAGAATCACGCTCCTGGGAGACGGAACAGGAGCCTCCACTACACTCCGGGGCAGTGTTCCACTGCTGAACAGCTCTCACAGTCAGGAAGTTCTTCCTAATGTTCAGGTGGAATCTCTTTTCTTGTAGTTTGAAGCCATTGCTCCATTGCAACCTAGTCTCCAGGGCAGCAGAAAACAAGCTTCCTGCCTCCTCCCTATGACTTCTCCTCACATATTTATTTATACATGCCCTCATCACATCTCCTCTCAGCCTTCTCTCCTTCAGGCTAAACATGCCCAGCTCTTTAAGCCGTTCCTCATAGGGCTTGTTTTCTAGAACCTTGATCATTTCAGTCACCCTCCTCTGGACACATTCCAGCTTGTTAACATCTCCCTTCAATTATGGTGCCCAGAACTGGACACTGTGTGATTCCAGATGTGGTCTGACCAAGGCAGAATAGAGGGGTAGCGTGACTTCCCTGGATCTAGACACTACACTCCTATTGATGTAGGCCAAAATCCCATTGGACTTTTTTGTCACTACATGACATTGTTGGCTCATGTTTAACTTGTTGTCCATGAGGACTCCAAGATCCATACCTCTTATTGTCTGCAGCCCCAGCAAGGAAATTTAATAACTTCAACCTGGGGTGGGGGGGTCCATGTTCGACAACATTGTGACAGCTTAGAGAAACTGAATTGCCACATTAGTGCTGTTCCGTGCAAAACTTGAACCATTTGTCTGTCACAATGAGCTGGATTTTGCTTCTGCATTTGTTCTGGAAGTGTGCCATGGTAATGAGAGGCTTTGGGCATTACTAGAAAATATACAATGGGGACATGCTCCCAGAAGCAGTGATCCTTTCCAAGTAACTGATTGAGGTGTATTGCCAGGGTCAGAGGCATGGCATGTTGAACTTTTCCCCTGGACAAACAGGAGCACCTTTGGTTGCACATGTTTCTCTGCGGGAAATGCCCCCGTTACTTCCTTTATTGTTTCAGAGGAATCCCATAATTAACCAACACTGGCTTCCAAGAAGTCCTAGCTTGAAGCAATTCTGCACCACTTCAAGCCGGCGTAATTCTTCTGAAAACCATATTACAAAAAAATGGACATGACGCAACTGTGTTGGTTCTTTCTTGCTTGCTGATTCATCCTCCTTAGCTGAAAGGTGTCTTCTGTCTTAGTAGTTTCACAACCTGAATTAATGCACGGACTCCGGTAATTTAAGACCCAAAAGACAGGTCTTGTGGGGACAAATTCCATGACAGCGAGGTCAAGGTGGACAAATGTGTCCACGAGGATCAGATAAGAGGCTGCGGGAGTGTGCTTTTGCACGATTCTGCTGGAAAAGGTCATCTTCATCTCATTGCTGAGTTAATTGGAAGTAAGTGACACTTTGAGTCCCGTTTCCATCAATTGAAATATGTCTGCAGACAGAGGGGGGAAGTGGGAATAATCCATGGCCTACCATAGGATGCTTGCAATGCTCTTCCTCCAAAGGTTCACCTTTGTGCTTCTGGAACCAAGGAAATGCCATGGTTCGTGGTCTGTCACTCTTTCCTTGGGTGGGGCCACTGTGAGAACAGAGGCGGGGCTTTAAAACTAGTGGAGTCTGGCACACTATAAATCCCATGCTCCGAGGAGAAGCCTTGTGGTCGAGGTGCAGGACAGGCTGAGCTTCCCAGCTCCTTCTTGGCTGCTCAACCTTAACTTCTCACAGTAACTGAGTCCCAGCAGTATGGCTGTTACATACAACGCCCAGGTGACAATGGGGAACTTCCTCCAATCAGGCACCATCGACTCCATTTCCATCACCTTGGTGGGCACCAAGGGCGAGAGCCCCAAAACTGCCCTGGACAACTGGGGCATAGACTTCTATCCTGGAGCGGTAAGTAGGAGGGAAGGTGAGCCATTGGGTCACAGAGCAACCTGGTACTCATTCAGCATTATAGCATATCATATGTAGATCTACTAGCTGTCCCCTGCCACATATATTTGTGTATATGTGTATATATGTGGGTTTGCACATGTGTTGTAATGTTTTTTTGTTTTTTGGCTTTTTAAGTCTCTTCTGCTGTGTTTTTCAGTGTTTTATGAGTGATGGTCACTTGTTGGCCTGATAGGTGTCTTGTGTCCAAATTTGGTGTCAATTCGTCCAGTGGTTTTTGAGTTATGTTAATCCCACAAACTAACATTACATTTTTATTTATATAGATTATCATCTATCTATTCATTCTATCTATTTGTTTCCTGCATGGCAGAGAGCTAAAATTTTAATTTTTAAATCTTTAACTTAACGTATGTTAACTGTATGTTGTTCAAAGGCACTGAATAGTTGCCATATGTAAAGTCACCTTGAGTCCTCTTTGGGGTAGTGAAAAGCAGGATACAAATAGATTAAGTAAATATGTAATTAAATAAGGAGCCATCCAAAGTCCTGAATCTAGAAATGCAATTTTTTTAAATTTAGCTCTCAAAGGAAGCAGTGAGTAATTTTCTTCTGGCTGTGAAAATCCTTGGAAAATAGTGCAGTTTTTCCAAAGACTACCTGCAATTTGAACATTATCCTGTGATTTTTTTTCAGATTGTATTTTTCACAAAAACAGTATTTTCTGTGCAGATTTTTTTTTCTGCGCAGAAATATCTCTCTCTACCATTTCCCATAGGCTTGTGCAATCCGGGTAAACCTTGACATGTTTCATGTCCCTGCTTTTGGTGGAGGGCAGATATCTATTTTCACTCTGGAGTGCCAAAAAGATCCATTTTCTATCGGCCCATTTTGGGGAGGGGGCTTCCTAGGCTCCCCTTCCTGCCATTTTAGGCATTTAAGCAGTATCTACTCTAGAGCAGAGGCACTCAGCTGCAGGCAGGTGTGCATTGTAAGGAGGCTTCTCTTACCTGTTTGTACTCTAGAGGAGAGGTGCTCGGTTGCAGGAAGGTCTGTACGCTTTCTCTCCCGGGCCTGCATAACTCCACACACCACACACACTCTTTCCAAGGCATGGGGGCAAGTCCTCTGTTTCTTACTCTGGAGAAATGCTTGGCTGCAGGTTTTCGTACCGGGAGGGCCTTACAGTTACGGCAGTGGTTCTCAACCTGGGGTCCCCAGATGTTTTTGGACTTCAACTCCCAGACATCCTGGTAAACTGGCTGGGATTTCTGGGAGTTGTAGGCCAAAAACATCTGGGGACCCCAGGTTGAGAACCACTGCGTTACGGGCTCCTGAAGCACCGAAGGTGCTGAAGGACATGGAGGAAACAGAAGAAACTAATTCTTCACACAACTCTAATTTCCTGCATAGAAAATGCTGTTTTCTGAGAAAACACAACATGAAAATTTTGCATAGCATCAGCCCCAAATGGTGAAAATTGTTCACACTTCAGGAGTCTTCTTTTCTGGGAGCGCTTCCAGACAGCACTAAATCACGGTTTTTAAAAAGAGGCAAAAAATCCCAGGACTTCAGAAGAGGTCTACATACAGACTTGTTGCTCCCGGGATTTCTGCCTCCATTGTCCAGACTTGATGCTTTGTTATGAGATTTAAAAGCTCCCAAGATGGCCGCCATGGGACTTCCCCCAGAAACTTCAGGGGTTTTAAAAAAAAAACAAAAACAAAAACCTCAAGATGCAGATATGCGAGTATGCGGAGAATCACTGAAACAAATCACTGCAAAAGTTCTGCAAAATAAACTATGCCCTCCAGACATTTCATGGAGTATCTGCCACAAAAACAAAGTTTATAGGGTAGGACCACTTCTGCCCAAGTCAGAACTGCACAATCAAACAGGAACTTTCAAGCCAGGAACAGAACTTTGTCATTACAGTGTTCCCTCACTTATTGCGGGTGTTCCATTCCATGACCAGCCGCAATAAGTGAAAATCCGCAAAGTAGGGAAACTATATTAATTGTAGTATTTGTACAGCCAAAAATTGTATACAGCCAAAAATTGGGCAGGAAGGCTCAAACAAACCCGCTTCCAGCTGCCGCTGGAGAAACCAGTGCCGGACGCAGAGAAGGCACGCTGCCTGGCCTTCCTCAGTACTTTTGAAGGTTGCCCAGAGCTCCTGAGGGTGGCCAGCCAAGCCAATCAAGGGAGAGCAGGGTCCACGTTCCATTGGTTGGCCACTCCACTGGAACTTCTCCTGCCGCCGAGGGAGCTCCTGGGAAGAAGAAGCCCCCTCTGACACCCTGGCGGTGAAAGGAAGGCAAGGAGGGAGGGACGGAAGGTGAGGAGGAGGAGGAGGATGGATGTGGGGGTGCCAGGCTCACCTCGGGGGCCACGCCGGGAAAACCACGAAACAGCGAGTCCATGGTAAGCAATTCATGAAGTGGCAAGAGAACACTGTATTGACACTTTTTAGATCCTGGCTGCCTGGCCATCTGCCAAAACAGATTTGGTTGTGTACTTGTGGCATCAAAAAACAAGGTACTCTTTCTGGGTTATACATAGCTGTTCCTGACATTTAACCTACTGGTGCCTTAATTAATGTAATTTTAATGTAATGTTAACTATGTACAGACCCACCAAGAAAATCCAACAAATGCTATGTTCAGCAAAGGACAAGAGGGATCCTCTCACTTCTGCAGGAGTCTACCGTATACCATGCAGCTGTGGACAAGTCTACATAGGGACCACCAAACGCAGCATTGCCCAAACACGAATCAAGGAACATGAAAGGCACTGAAGACTACTTCAATCAAAGAAATCAGCCATAGCAGAGCACCTGATGAACCAACCTGGACACAGCATTTTATTTGAGATCACAGAAATGCTGGACCACTCTCTCACAACCACCATGTCAGACTACACAGAGAAGCCATTGAAATCCACAAGCATGTGGACAATTTCAACAGAAAGGAGGAAACCATGAAAATGAACAAAATCTGCTACCAGTATTAAAAAAAAACTCTAAAATTACAACAGCACCACAACAGAGAGGAAACAAACAAGGACATCTAATCACCTCTCAACAAAAGATTGCTCCAGGCACTGCCAGGCTCTCAAATGCTAATCAAGGTGGTCAGTTGAAGCATTCACACCTAGCTCCAGCAGACAAGAGTTCTTTGTCCCACCCTGGTCATTCCACAGATATATAAACCCTTTTTCCTAGTTCCAACAGACCTCACTACCTCTGAGGATGCTTGCCATAGATGCAGGCGAAACGTCAGGAGAGAATGCCTCTAGAACATGGCCATATAGCCCGAAAAAAACCTACAACAACCCAGTGTTTCCGGCCATGCATTTATTTTGAAATTTACCAGTAGCAACTGCATTTCCCGCCCTTGGCTTATACTCGAGTTAATATGTTTTCCCAGTTTTTGTGGTAAAAGTAGGTCCCTCGGCTTATATTTGGGTAGGCTTATACTCAGGTATATATGGTATTTTGTTTGGAAACTGCAATTCAAGCAAACCTATGGTTAGAATTCTATTAATGGCATGCAAATACACTCATCCCCAGGAGTGTTTTGCAGATATCCATTGCCAATGATCTCAAAACCCCTTCAGCTGGGCGATGCCTGGTTGAAAAGGTCAGGTTTTTTTTTTTAAGGGGAGTGGGGAGGTCATGGCACAATCAGACAGCTATGACAATACAAGATCTCAATTGCTTTTTATTATTCCTTCCTGTCAGTTCCTCTGGTGTTTTCCCCCCTCCAACTTCATCCTTTTCCTCCATCACCGTTTCCGGGTTCTTGACAATATTCACCAGCCATTTCCTTCTCAAAACGCACAGAAATGGGTTTGGTTTGTGTAACTAAGAATTTTCAATGTTTTCCTATTGCTAAAACCTTGGTTCCTGGTACCAGGTTGCATAAAGAATAACTCAGGTTGTGAAACATCCTCCTCCTTGCAATAACAACACATTGTATGCTACTGTTTCTGTTGCAAATGGGATTTCTCTTGGCATATTTGTGTGTTGATGGTACTTGTCCATGAACATTCAGCGCTCCCCAAGTTAGTGCAGGATTGATAAGAACCTTTAAAACATGAAGCTAGTTGAATGCTTTTGTGTTGATTTTGACATATGATAACCTCATTTTAGGATGTTCTTGGCACGATTCTTTCAGGAGAGGTTGGCCACTGCCTTCTTCTAAGTCTGAGGCCCCTTCCACACTGCCATACAATCCAGGCCTACTCTCAATTTGCAAATAATACATGCATTTGTTGGCAATGTTGCTTAGTTAAAGAATGTGCACCCGCTGTGCCCGTACCTTGGGAAGTCTGACTTGGCCACGGTAGTCCACGCTCTGGTTACATCCCGTATAGACTACTGTAACGCTCTCTACGTGGGGTTGCCTTTGAAGACTGTCCAGGAGCTTCAACTGGTCCAACAGACAGCAGCCAGGTTACTAACAGGAGCGGCACTCAAGGAGCGTACAACCCCTCTGTTGCGCCCCCTCCACTGGCTGCCAGTCTGCTACCAGGCACAATTCAAAGTGCTGGCTTTAGCCTATAAAGCCCTAAACGGTTCTGGCCCAACTTACCTGCTTGAACGCATCTCACCTTATGAACCTTGCAGGACTTTGAGATCATCTGGGGAGGCCCTGCTCTCGATCCTGCCTTTGTCACAAGCACAGTTGGCGGGGACGAGAGACAGGGCCTTCTCAGTGGTGGCCCCGCTGCTATGGAATGCCCTTCCTAAGGAAATTAGATCGGTCCACTCCCTTTTAACATTTCAGAAGAGATACATTGTGTGCTGCAACGTGCTGGGCCTGTAATAATTGATTTTTTAAACAGGACGTACTCTTTATGCCCAGCGGGGAGATGGGGTGCCTCGGGTGAGAGGCCTTCAAGGAATTTCCCATACACAGCCTTTAGAAGGCTTGAAATGTTTAACAAAGTTCTTTATTATTGCTTAGGTCTTCAATAAAACAACAAACACTTCTTGGATCTTCAACAGATTAAGCAAAATCCTGGCTACTGGCCTGCACATCCTGTAGCTTAGCTTTCCACTATAAGACTGAACTAAAAATGGCTCCCTCTCTTCCCATGGCCCTGGGGAAAGGAGCGGAACCAAAACTTAACAATGATAGACAGGTGGCTAGCCCTGTCATTGCCAACCAAGGGAAACCACCTTGTTGCAAATGCATGGAACCTTGGAATATATGCAAACATTCAATAGAAAGAAAATGAAGCTGAAGCTCCTGGTACAGCCGTACCAGCACATAGCTCTTTGAGCAGGCATTTGCAAATACAGAGTAACAGACATAGGAAAATGGAATGGTTGACAATGTGACTGGACAATGTTTTTAATGAGGAGACCCTAATTATACATGTTTTTATTGATTTTATTGATTCTGTTATGGTTTTATTATTTGATTGTTTTTATTATATTGAAATTGTATTTTATGGTCTTGGTACCAACTGTAAACCGTCCCGAGTCGCCTGCGGGCTGAGAGGGATGGTATATAAAAGCAGTAAATAAATAAATAAATAACCAGAACTGAAATGTGACTTCCATGCTCTGCTCTATGGTTGCCTCCATTCATCCTCTAACTTTTTTTTACAGGTGAATGATTACAAAGTCTCTTGCAAACATGACCTGGGAGAGATTGTGCTCGTCCGTCTTCATAAAGAATGCACAGTCGACCTCATCCCCACAAACTGGTACTGCAATTTTATCACTGTCACATCCCCGAAAGGGCTAGCCTACTGTTTTCCTTGCTACCGTTGGATGGAGGGGTGCCAGACTTTGGAGCTGAGGGAGGGAACGGGTAAGTCATTCTCCTCGGGAGGAAAGAGATGGAAAGTTTTTAAAAAGTTTTCTGCTCACTTGGCAGGATGACAAGGGGCTGTGAGCATTTGCTTTTGCATAAACACAAGTTTCCGCATAAAAGATCCCAAGCAAGCAGAATAATAATAATAATAATAATAATAATAATAATAATAATAATATTCAGCTTGTGATTTTGTGATACGAAACCCAGCATATAGATCTCGTTGGCTGTGACGTACTGTGTTTTGTGTCAGTAAAATAACAACAACTACTACTACTGCTACTACTACTACCATTGATGTTGCAATCCCAGGCGATAGCAGGATTGAAGAGAAACAACTGGAAAAGCTGACATGATATGGGGATTTAAAGATCGAACTGCAAAGACTCTGGCACAAGCCAGTAAATGTGGTCCCAGTGGTGATTGGTACACTGGGTGCAGTGTCTAAAGACCTTGGCCTGCACTTAAAAATACAACTGACACTGACAAAATTACCATCTGCCAGCTGCAAAAGGCCACCTTACTGGGATCTGCATGCATTATTCGCTGATACATCACACAGTCCTAGACACTTGGGAAACGTCCGACATGTGATCCAATACAACAGCCAGCAGAGCGATCTTGTTTGCTGTGTACTAATCTTGTTGTGTATCAAATAATAACTACTACTACTACTACTTTATTTGGTGTGGCTTACAAGGGGACAAGTTAAAATATAACACACTAAAATACATAACAACAGCATAAAACAGAGTGACACAACATTATTACAGAATATAGCAACCATCGAACCAACAACCAAAGAACCTGCAATAATAAACAGTTTCTGGGCACAACTGGGTGGACTGGTGCAAATCAATTGTGAGGATAGGGCTGATGGATAAAGTGTGTAAGTTAAATGGCAACAGTAGGGATAGAGGGCAATGTAAGATGGAGCATTATAACTTTGGGTACAGAGCAGTAGTAAAGTGCGAGGATGAGATTTTGGGTCCTAGCCGGGGCCAAGTTATCTGGGAAATTATCTCGTCAAAAGCACGTCTTCAGATCTTCCACATCTTTAGATCTTTGCAGAAGATGGACAGGGTGGGTGCTAGCCTAATCTCCCTTGTCCTCCTGCCCAGGAGGGAGAAAACTTTGGAAATTATTCTTGCAGTGTTCGAACAAAATAAGTGACATTCCTGGATATTGTCTTGCCTTTCACTATTAATAATTGTTGGGGAGGATGATTGTGTAGGTGCTAGGATACTCAGGCCCTGCTGGAAGCATCCGGCTGAACGAAGTAGGATGTTGGACTTAGAGAGGCCTTCAGGTCTTATTTAGCTTCTGGGTTCTACTCCTGACCCTCACCAAAAACCTGTAGGACCTCAAGGAGATTCAGAGGGATCTTTATACTCAGTTAATCTCCAACTTATTTCATAAGAGGTGTGATGCTTTTATGAACTGTAGACCACTCTCTGCATCAATTTATCGCCCGGAAAAATATTATCTTCTAAACTTAGATGTATGTCAGCTTTTGATACCACATTATTTAGTGGAAGGGCTCAGATTCCAATCAATAGTAGCTCTTATCAACCACCGAGGGTGATTTGAATGCAATATTCCTGCTTCTTGGCAGGGGGTTGGACTGGATGGCCCATGAGGTCAATTCCAACTCTTTGATTCTATGTTTCTATGATTCTATGATCTCCTAATAAACAACAACTTTGTGTGTGTTTGTTCCACCAGCAAAAACAGCTGCCATGGATACTCTACCCTTACTCAAAGAGTTCCGAAAAAAGGAGGTTCAGAAGAGGCAGTCCCATTATCAGTAAGTGAAGCTATAAGATGGTGCATCATGTACCAGCTAAAAACTATATTGAGCCATTGCATCAGATAAAGAACCTCTTCTTTCTGTTGATTCCTAGTCTCCATTCCAACCCAGGAACCTGTGAGATTTGGGCAGGGAAGGAGATGTGCCCAACTAATAATAATAATAATAATAATAATAATAATAATAATACTTTATTTGTACCCCGCTACCATCTCCCCAAGGGACTCAGTACGGCTTACATGAGGCCAAGCCCACAACACATCAATAAACAAAAGCAATAACAATAAATCAATACAAAACAGTTGAAATAAACTCAAAAACAAAAAATACACAATAAACAATAACAATATCAAAAACATACAGCATTTAAAAAACCAATGGCGGGGTCAAATGTAAAATTCAAATTTAAAATTTAAAAAGTGCTGGGCATGAACAAGGTAAGGCAAATTAGGATAGGGTTTTCGGAGAAAGATGAGGGCACGCAGACAATCCTAAGTCAGGATTAAAGTGCATTATGAGGGCATATTGCTGAGAGATTCTCCTTATTCTGGGAAGGCACACTTGAACAACCACGTTTTCAGGCTCCTCCTAAAGACTGTCAGCATTGGGGCATGTCTGATGTCCTTAGGGAGTGAATTCCAGAGTTGAGGGGCCACCACTGAGAAGGCCCTCTCCCTCGTCCCCACCAATCGTGCCTGCGATGGAGGTGGGAGCGTGAGCAGGGCTTCTCCAGATGATCGAAGAGATAATGTGGGTTCGTACACAGAAATGCGGTCACGCAGGTAGGCGGGTCCCAAACCGTTCAGGGCTTTGTAGGTAAGCACCTGCACCTTGAATTGGGACCGAAAAATGAACGGCAGCCAGCGGAGCTCCTTAAACAGGACGGTTGACCACTCCCTGCAAGAAGCACCAGTTAGTAACCTGGCTGCCGCCCGTTGTACCAGTTGAAATTTCCGGGCCGTTTTCAAGGGCAGCCCCACGTAGAGTGCATTACAGTAATCCAATCTGGAGGTGACTAAGGCATGGACCACCCTGGCCAGATCTGACTTCACGAAGTACGGTCGCAGTTGGCGCATGAGTCTTAATTGTGCGAAGGCCCTCCCGGCCACCGCTGACGCTTGAGCTTCAGGCGTAAGTGATGAGTCCAGGAGGACACCCAGACTGCGGACCTGTGACTTCAGGGGGAGTGTAACTACATCCAACCCCATCCCAAACTCTATGCGTGTCTTGGTATCTGTGTGAGCCATTGCTTCTTTCTCCCCAAATGTTAGGTGTGAGTGATCTCATATTCACAACAACCTCCAGTGAGTAGAGATACGAAAATCCAGTTTTATGGTTCTGTGAACTCCCAATCGTATTCTTACTCTATCCAAGTTCTACACATGGCTGCAAAACATTGTCCAGTTTTTTCGGCACAAAAAATTGTTCATGTTCCGACACATGCTTTTCCTAGCTGTTTTGGCTCTTTAGACTTGTAGAAGACTTGCACAAACCTTTGGGTGCTTTGAATCATCCTAATAACAATATGACCAATTTGTAGATTTCTTCAAAATAGAAACAAATAAAAGATCTCAGAACTGTTTTGGGGGAATGTGGTCTACATTGCAAGACAGGTTGTCCTTAATGTGCATCACTTACAGGTATTTTCCAGGGGCGGACAAAGTATTTTTCTCATCTATAAATCTTTCCAACATTCTTATATCTATGAAGACTCTTGCAAGCACACCAGGCAAATCCCATTTTTTGAAAGCAGATCCATTCCAAGACCAATATAAAGATTCCTACCTAAGTTGCAATCTCCTTTCTCTCACTGTCTCCATCTCGTCCCACTTGCAGTGTTATGAATGTTTGTAATTAAGTGTAGTGAAGGTTCCACTAATCATGCATTAACTACCCTTTTCATTAATGATCACACAAGAGCTCTGTGTCCCCAACAACATTTTGGGGTGTCACATTTTTCCTCTCCCTGACGGGAAAAACAAAACCTTCAGAGAAAGACAGCAATGGGTCTTCATGACTCCTGAGCTTGGAACAGGGCCTTTTGGGGACCTCAACAACCAGAATCCCCCAGTCCAGGAGACATTCCAGATCTAGATGATTTTGATTCCTTTCTCTCCATACAGGTGGAAGATCTTCGCTGAGGGTGTCCCCTACTGTCTGAACGCCTCATCCATGGAGGAGCTAGAAAGTGATGTTAAATTTTCTGCAACCAAAGCTGTCCTTTTTGCTGAACGCTCTAAAAGCAAGTAAGTTGCATGGGAAGGTGATGAGGGAGTGTTTGAGGAGGATTATCCTATTTTATATATTGTGGTAACTATCAGAACTAGGAATCATCACATTGGTCTGGAAATCACTGCATTGCAGGGGTAATAAGGGTATGTCTCTCTAGAAATGGCAACATACATAGTAGGACTTCCACTTTCACTGGGGTCACAAACTCAGGACTCTATGAAAATATGAGGGGGAATAAAAAAACCTCCATAAAAATGGGGAAGAATTGAATAAAAAACTCTGCTATTTAATTTTTGATTAGATTTTTTTTTGTCGTGTCAGGAGGGACTTGAGAAACTGCAAGTTGCTTCTGGTGTGAGAGAATTGGCCGTCTGCAAGGACGTTGCCTAGGGGATGCCCGGATGAATTGATGTTTTTATCATCCTTGTGGGAGGCTTCTCTCATGTCCCCGCATGAGGAGCTGGAGCTGATAGAGGGAGCTCATCCACCTCTCTCCAGATTCAAACCTGCGACCTGTTGGTCTTCAGTCCTGCCGGCACAGGGGTTTAACCCACTGCGCCACCGGGGGCTCCAATTTTTGATTAGATGAAACACTTTTCTAGGAATTCCCAAATCCTCCAGGGCAATTCCATGGTCAGCCTTCACTGGAAATAGTTCTCTAGGAATCTTTAGGGCCTCCAGGGAAATTATATGGTTAACTTCTAGATGTTGAACATAGAACCACAAGGGAAGACCTAGAGCAGCGTTTCTCAACCTGGGGGTTGGGATCCCTGGGGAGGTCACAAGGGGATTTCAAGGGGGTCGCCAAAGACCATCAGAAAATGTATTGTCGAAGGCTTGCATGGCCAGAATCACTGGGTTGTTGTAGGTTTTTTCGGGCTATATGGCCAGGGTCTAGAGGCATTTTATCCTGACATTTCGCCTGCATCTATGGCAAGCATCCTCAGAGGTAGTGAGGTCTGTTGGAACTAGGAAAGTGGGTTCATATATCTGTGGAATGACCAGGGTGAGACAAAAGACTCTTCTCCACTGGAGGTAGGTGTGAATGTTTCAACTGACCACCTTGATTAGCGTATAATGGTCTGACAGAGCCTGGGGCAAACTTTTGTTGAGAGGGGATCAGATGTCCTTGTTTGTTTCTTCTCTGTTGTTGTGCTGTTGTAATTTTATAGTTTTTTGAAATTGTCCACATGCTTGTGTATTTCAATGGCTTCTCTGTGTCGTCTGACATGGTGGTTGTGAGAGTGATCCAGCATTTCTGTGTTCTCAAATAAAATGCTGTGTCCAGGTTGGTTCATCAGGTGCTCTGCTATGGCTGATTTCTCTGGTTGAAGTAGTCTGCAGTGCCTTTCATATTCTTGACTCGTGTTTGGGCACTGCGTTTGGTGATCCCTATGTAGACTAGTCCACAGCTGCATGGTATAAGGTAGACGTGAGAGGGTCCCTCTTGTCCTTTGCTGAGCGAAGCATTTGTTGGATTTTCTTGGTGGGTCTGTAGATAGTTTGTATGTTGTGTTTCCTCATCAGCTTCCCTATGTGGTCAGTGGTTCCCTATGCGCATGCCCCATGCACCCCAAACATTCACAGTCATATCTGGCCGATTCAACAATGTTGTCCTTTTCTACAATCCTTAGGAAGATAGAGATGAAGCTGAGAGGCTTTTCTGATAGCCAAGAATCCTGGGAGGACCTGGAGGACATCAAGAAGGTTTTCTGGTTCAACAAGTCAGATATATCAGGTAAGATGAAGTCCTTCTAAAATCCAGTGCTTAGGGATTTTACTTTTTGGGATGACATCTGGCAGAATATCTCAGCAGGCAACTTCAGCTGCCACTGAGAAGACCTTGTGTCCTGTTTCTCCTCCAGACGGCTTTGAGAAAAAGAAGAAACTCACTGGAAGCAACATCTTGTTGGTCTCAACTTTAACTCCCATAGTAAAATCAGATACCTTGGAGATGCTCTCTCAAATCCAAGTCTACAGTTTCATTTTGGTTTAATGACAGGCAGCAACTCAAAATTCTTTGGTGCCATTCCACTAAAGCAAACTATTCTGGGTTCCTTCTTCAGTTCTTGAAAGAATGATGTAGTATTTGGTCCCCAATTATTGTGTCCAGAGGAGGGCGACTAAAATGATCAAGGGTCTGGAGAACAAGCCCTATGAGGAGCATCTTAAGGAACTGGGCATGTTTAGCCTGAAGAAGAGAAGGCTGAGAGGAGATATGATAGCCATGTATAAATATGTGAGAGGAAGCCACAGGGAGGAGGGAGCAAGCTTGTTTTCTGCTTCCCTGGAGACTAGGACATGAAACAATGGCTCCAAACTACAAGAAAGGAGATTCCATCTGAACATGAGGAAAAACTCCCTGATTGTGTTTAGCAGTGTTCCGTTTAGCAGTGGAACTCTCTGCCCTGGAGCGTGGTGGAGGCTCCTTCTTTGGAAGCTTTTAAACAGAGGCTGGATGGCCATCTGTGAGGTGTGATTTGAATGCAATATTCCTGCTTCTTGGCAGGGGGTTGGACTGGATGGCCCATGAGGTCTCTTCCAACTCTTTGTTTATATGATTCTATGATTCTATGAAACCTAAATCTTTTGTTAGTCCCCAGGCACATTGAATTCTCAGGAGTCATTCACAAGTTGAATCACCATTCAGTGGATCTATTTTAGTTGGGATTAATCCTTGTCCCCCGTTCTAGAATACGTCACTGAGCACTGGAAAGAAGATGCCTTCTTTGGGTACCAGTTCCTGAATGGACTGAACCCAAGAATGATCCGGAGATGCACTGAGATCCCTCCGAATTTCCCTGTGACCCAGGAGATGGTGGCCACGTCCCTTGGAGATGATACTACGCTGGAGAAAGAGCTGGAGGTATAAAGAGAAACGGGCGTTACATGGTCTGGAAGGCCATCATTTCTGAGAACAACCAGTATGTGAGGAAGTTATAATGTAGACTCTGGAATCCACCTAGTCTCCATGTCATGCTCTCCAACTGTGCCAGTTTGGCAGGGACTGTCCCATTAACCCTCTGCTCTCCTTTATTTCCACCTTTTATCTTTGTCCTCTGGTTCCTTTCACTCATTGCAAGTCCATTAACTCATTGGAAGTGAGCTCTAGTTTCCCCTTTAATAATATTTGCCCCCTTGACCACACTTTGACTTTGCTTGGTTGCACATGTTGCAAATCTCATCTGGAAAATGTCATGCTATTTGAGGATTTTAGGGGGTGTTAGTCCAAAAACTATAACTTCTAGAAATCTCTTCAGATAAGGGAAGATGGCCACTAGACTTATCAACTACTGTCAAACTTGTTGCTTCCTCTTTTGTTGAGAATTTGTGTCTTTCTTCTTCATACAGAAAGGCAATATCTTCATTGTTGACTACCAACTCTTGGATGGGGTCCCAGCTGGGCTAAATAATGGACGCCAGCAGTACATCGCTTCCCCTTTGTGCCTGCTACACCTCTCTGAGCAGAAGCATCTCATGCCCTTGGCCATTCAGGTACTACATTTTCCAGGTGGGAAACCCAGGAGACATAGAGTCCCTACGTCTGCAGTTCCACCATTGAACTTAGAATTCCTCAGATGTTACAGCCACTTTTTTATGCTGAGTGGCAGATTCTGGTTTTATCTTCCAGGCTTCACATCCTGTCTCAGTCTACCCTGTTTTAGCATGCCAAGAAGCCTAGGCCCCATGTAATACCACCTTCTCCTTCTACTTGTATAGCTCAGTCAGACCCCAGGTCCGGAGTCGCCCATCTTCCTGCCAAGTGACTCGGAATGGGATTGGATCCTAGCCAAAACCTGGGTGCGCAATGCCGACTTCTACGCCCATCAGGGTATCACGCATCTGCTCCAGACGCACCTGTTGGCTGAGGTGTTCACCATGGCCACCATCCGCCAGTTGCCCATGTGTCACCCGCTCTACAAGGTGAAGCTGAACATTCAATCTTTTAATGCTAACATCTACTTTCTGGTCACTTCCGGATCAAAACCTTTTGGGAGTGGGGAATATTGGAAGTGGTCAACTATGAGCAAGTGGGAATTTGAAGCCTGGTTTCTCAGAGTCCTAGGCCAACTTTCAAACCACTACAGTATGCTAACTCTGAAATCATTCAAAATAAACATCAATAAATATCAAGCCTGGAACCAATCCCGCATGAATACAAAGGGTCCACTGCACAAGTATTTTCAGAAATTCTATGTTTTGTAAGACTTCCTGTTGGATTTTTGAGGCAGATTTTGGTCAAACCAGACGTAGGCCTCCAGTAGATGGAAATAGAGGAATTAAAGCATGTCTTGCTTTCTGCTTCCACAGCTCCTGATTCCTCACACACGTTATACCCTTCACATCAATGTGTTGGCCCGGGAACGTCTCATTTCAAAGGAGGGTGTCTTTGATAAGGTAAATGGTTCTACATTTTCTCCTTCATCCAGTCCACCAACACCTTAAAATTTTAGCACATGATACCACTTTAACTGCAATGGTACAATCCTGTGGAATCCTGCTGGGACAGATCCCTTTCCAGGATGGTCCCACAGTTCCAACCCTTGGAATTTGGTAATTTGTTCCCTACTTAATCTCTCCTGGATTGGGAACTTGGACCTCAAGTGGACTTGGGCTTGTGTTGCTGTGGTAGATTAGAGGTGGTTAATGTGAGCAGCTTCCACCAAAGATATAATGGCCACTCTGAGATAAACAAGTGGACACAAACAAGTGGAAGTTTGCTGAGACACTTGTAATTAATACTCTCAATCAATCCTAGTTCCTTTAGTCCACAAACTCTTCTCCTATGCTCCTAACCATTTGTTGTTGTTTACTCGTTCAGTCGCTTCTGACTCTTCGTGACCTCATGGACCAAACCACACCAGAGCTCCCTGTGAGCTGTCCCATTCACCTTGCCCTTGGTCGCCCCCTCTTCCTTTTTCCTTCCATTTTCCCCAGCATCATTCTCTTCTCTAAGCTTTCCTGTCTTCTCATGATGTGGCCAAAGTACTTAATCTGTGCCTCTAATATCTTTCCCTCCAGTGAGCAGCCGGGCATTATTTCCTGGAGTATGGACTGGTTGGATCTTCTTGCGATCCAAGGCACTCTCAGAATTTTCCTCCAACATCAAAGTTCAAAAGTGTTTATCTTCCTTTGCCCAGCTTTCCTTATGGTCCTAATCATAGCTCTGCAAAATCCAAATCCTCTGCCAAATCCATCCCTCTCTCTATCAAATCCAGCCTCTACCTGCCATTTGTAGTTTGCTGAAGGACAAAACAGTTCCTTGATAGAGAACTCTAGCCTTCTTCCCTGAAATAGAGGATTCCTGAGAAGAAACAGACTGTCAAATTCATGTGTGTAGTTCTGATCTGAGATCTCCAAAGAGCTGCTATTGATTGTGCCCATTTCAATTCATCGTTTTGATTAAGAAAACGAAATGAAACAGATTTTGCAAATGGGTAGTTGAAGATAAACAAATGCTGCATTTGAAAAATGCAAACTTTTATCTGCAAAGGGCAACACTGGACTCACGCTCTGACGCTTTCTTCCTCCACCACCCCTTTCTAGGCAACTGGTGTCACTCATGAGGGACTGGTGAAAGTGCTGCAAAAAGGAACCAGAGCCTTGACCTTCTCTTCGCTCTGCCTTCCGGAGGATCTGGAGGCTCGTGGGCTGTCCTCGTTGCCCCATTACTACTACAAGGAGGATGGTTTGAAGATCTGGGCAGCTATGGAGAGGTCAGGCAGAAGCAATTGTGGAGCCTGTTATACTGTTTATTTATATCCTGGTTTCTCCCACTATTGGGACTCAGTGCTTCCAAGTGTGTTGAACCTAAGGGGTCTTGGAGCCCCATCTGGTCATGTTGCTGGATCTGATATTGAATGGCAGTGTTGATTTATTGAGATCAATATCCTCTCTTATCTCAATAATCCTTGGCCACTCAAGCATGTGCTTGAAGGTAGAAAGGTAATAATAATAATAATAATAATAATAATAATAATAATAATAATAACTTTATTTGTACCCCGCTACCATCTCCCCAAGGGACTCGGTGTGGCTTACATGAAGCCGAGTCCACAATACATCAGCAAAAAATAACAACAACAGTAATACAAAACAATAAAATAAAATTCATAAGCAGAAAATAGGCAGTAAACATCAACAATAACACAATAACATTTAAAAACCTATAGCTGGGGCAAATGTAATAATTAAAATTTTAAAAATAATGCTGAGCAAGACCAAGTGAAATATAACTAGGATAGAATTTCAGAAAAGAATGGGGCAAACAGACAGTCCTAGATTACTAATAAAGTGCAATTAGGGACATATTGCTGGGAATTTCCTTATTCTGGGAAGGCACACTGGAACAACCACGTTTTCAGGCTCCTCCTAAAGATTGCCAAAGTTGGGGCATGCCTGATGTCCTTGGGGAGTGAGTTCCAGAGTAGGGGGGCCACCACTGAGAAGGCCCTCTCCCTCGTCCCCACCAATCGCGCCTGCGATGGAGGTGGGAGTGCGAGCAGGGCCTCTCCAGAGGATTGAAGAGATTATGTGGGTTCGTACACAGAAATGCGGTCATGCAGGTAGGCGGGTCCCAAACCATTTAGGGCTTTGTAGGTAAGAACCTGTACCTTGAATAATAATGAAGCAGACTCCTTGAATTCCGCTCCAAAGCCAGTGCGGCACTTAATTTTATTCCGATATACACTATTTACAGAGGAGCACAATAACTCACATCCATTCACATCTGCACACACTGCAAGGAGCAACATTCCAATCTTATTAGTTCTTCAGCATCCAGCTTCCACAGGAGCTGTCTTAAATTATGCTCTGGCAATACGTCACAACTCTATGCATTAACTCTTGCATTATTATATCACACAGTTTAAACTACAAGGAATATTTCATTCTATATAAAAACCATACACTAACAACATCTTGTAGAACTTGGGAAAGTACCTTCATTTTGGGCTACAACTACCAGTATCTTATGACCAATCACATTGGATAACTTAGTTTGTTTGAGGGAGATTGGGAGTTGTAATGGAAATAGGAATTTTTTTCAGGTTATGGTTCAGATCATTCTCGCATTAGCCGAGGAAATGCAAAAATGATTGTTTGGCCTTGAAGAGGTTGGCTGGGGAAACTGAGACATGTAGTCAGATGCCCTTTACATTAGGCTTGGGCGGTTTCGTTCGTTAATTTCGTAATTCGTTATTAATTCGTATTTAAATTAGCTTACGATCCAATATTGAGCCATGCAGGACTACTGTGAGGAGTAATTAAAAATCGAAACAATTTTTCCAATTTATTTCGTATTGTTTCGTAATTGTTTCATAATTGGTTCAAAATTGTTTCAAATTGTTTCGTAATTATTTCGTAATTATTTTCGCATGTCTGGTGCAAGTTTTATAGTTGTTGTTTGTTTTATCACACCAACAGTCAACAACAGAGGGAGAGGGAAGCTTCAGAAGTTCCCCCTGTCCCATTTGGAGGTTTTTTTTAGCATATTGCGCAATCGCGTCCGCCATTAACGAATCGATTCGAAATTAACGAAATTTCGTAAATAACGAAATTTTGAAATCTCAAAATTTCGGAAGTATTTAGAATTTGGAAATGCTAGTGGCCCCTGGAAACGAATCGAGTTTAGAAACAAATTTTTCCGTGGTTACCCAGCCCTACTATCCACATATCCACCCTGGTTAAGTTGTTTTGTCTTCCCTGTGTTTGTTTGGGGATGCTGGGGGCTGTAGTGCAAAATGGGGAACCATCTCAAGGTCTGGCTCTGGTCCCCATATTGGTCCCAGAGACATAGATGTGGTTTGCTCATTTAAAAGTCTGGACCAAATGCATCTTCCTGACATTCCAGTCATGTGAGAGACCAAGGAATTCTGGTGGACTCCATCCTGACTGTTCTTCTTTTTTGTCTCCTCTTCTTTTAGCTTTGTCTCTAGAATAATCGATTTGTATTATCCAAATGATCACTCTGTGCAGGAAGATTCTGAGCTGAAGAAGTGGATGGAGGAGGTCTTTGAGAAAGCCTTTATGTCTCAGGAGTCTTCTGGTAGGGCTGCCAATATCCTATAGCAATGGGAAGAATGCAGACTCAACATTGTTGTTTTTGTTTTTTCTGTTGTTATACTTATAATCCATGATATAAATATGGCATCTTAAGCTGCAATACAATTTTATGAACATGAATGCCACTGAAAGCAAAATTAATATCTATATGGAATTAAACTATAGTATTCATATTATTAAAACAATTGAATCCTTTATTTAAAGAGATGCAAAACTCACCAGGCACATTAATATTGTTCATTTAAGTCTAAGCCCCGTGGAAATGGGATCTGTATGAGCATAGTCATTGCTGATGATGTGGAAGTGGGGATGATGGGCCATGGAGGAATGGATGCACAATTACAGGTTGACTCTTGGAAGACCAGATGGTGGAGAGGCATTAAGAGAACCTTCACTGTGCAAAACTGGTTATGAATTGAGGACTAGACACATGGGGAATGGGATAGGTATCAAATTTGAATAATGCAGTAGTTCTCAACCTTCCTAATGCCGCGACACCTTAATACAGTTCCTCATGTTGTGGTGACCCCCAACCATAACATTACTTTCGTTGCTACTTCATAACTGTAATGTTGCTACTGTTATGGATTGTAATGCAAATATCTGGTATTCAGGATGTATTCACTGGACCAAACTTGGCACGGATACTCAATATGCCTAAATGTGAACACTGGTGGAATTTGGGGGAAATAGACATTGACATTTGGGAGTTGTAGTTGCTGGGATTTATAGTTCATCTACAATCAAAGAGCATTTTGAATCCCACCAATGATAGAATTGGGCCAAACTTTCCACACTGAAACCCCATGACCACAGAAAATACTGTAGCCAGATTTTGTTCATTTCCATGGTTTCCTCCTTTCTGTTGAAATTGTCAACTGATTTCTATTGACTCTAAAACTCTAAAATTACAACAGCACAACAACAGAGAGGAAACAAACAAGGATATCTAATCACCTCTCAACAAAAGTTTGCCCCAGGCTCTGTCAGACCATTATATGCTAATCAAGGTGGTCAGTTGAAACATTCACACCTAGCCCCAGCAGACAAAAGTCCTTTGTCTCACCCTGGTCATTCTACAGATATATAAACCCATTTTTCCTACTTCCAACAGACCTCACTACCTCTGAGGATGCTTGCCATAGATGCAGGCGAAACGTCAGGAGAAAAATTGCCTCCAGAACATGGCCATATAGCCCGGAAAAACCTACAACAACCCAGAAAATACTGTGTTTTCTGATAGTCTTTGGCGACCCCTCTGACCCCCCCCCCGACCCCTCCCCCAGAGGTCCCAACCTCCAGGTTGAGAAACACTGGACTAAAGCAACAGATACTGACCATTTACAGATATAAGACAAAACAAAGTGTGTACTTAGGTCCTGAATCAACAAATCCTTTATAGATGTCTCTCCGCTTGACGTCTGCCACAAATTCCCACTTTCTCTTCCTTTTGCAGGCGTCCCTTCCTCCTTCTCTTCTGTGGAAGAGCTGAAAAAGTTCCTGACGATGGTGGTTTATACCTGTTCAGCTCAGCATGCAGCCGTCAACAGTGGACAGGTAGGAGGAAAGATGTCCTTATTCCAAAGAACTCTTAATGCACATTGTTTGCTAAAACAGAGCCTGGGATGTTTTCCAGAAACTTGTGAGCATCCTGGGACATTGAATATGGAGAAGGTGCTGACAGGTTTCTAGAAACCATTCCCAGATCTCCGATTATTCTTTCTGTTTTTGGGGTGCAGCTGCCCAAATCCCACAGAACACTGGCTGGAGGAAATGGGGAGATCTGGTATCTCAAAGGAAGACAAATGGTTGTTCAAATCAGTTTAAACATTTGATGTAAACAGAGCGCATTAAAGGGGTGGCCAACTGAAGCTATTCTTTGAGGCACTGCAGACTAAGTCAACCAGAGAAGTCAGCTATAGCAGAGCACCTGATGAACCAACCTAGACACAGAATATTATTTGAGAACACAGAAATGCTGGACCACTCTCACAACCATCATGTCCGGCTACACAGACAAGCCATTGAAACCCACAAGAAGCAGGTGGTCAATTTTGACAGAAAGGAGGAAACCATGAAAATGAACAAAATCTGGTTACCAGTATTAAAAAAAACACCAGAATCGAGGCAGTAAATAAAGAACGCCACTCAGAAACAGGGGAACTCCAGATAGCAAACAATCAAGTGCCAGTTAACAGTTCCCAAATAAAGGATAGAGGACAGGAGCAGGATTCAAAACGATCTTCACAGATTAGAGAGATGGGCCAAAACTAACAAAATGAAGTTCAACAGTGACAAATGCAAGATACTCCACTTAGGCAGAAAAAACGAAATGCAAAGATACAGAATGGGGGACAATGCCTGGCTCGAGAGCAGTACGTGTGAAAAAGATCTTGGAGTCCTCGTGGACAACAAGTTAAACATGAGCCAACAATGTGATGTGGCGGCAAAAAAAGCCAATGGGATTTTGGCCTGCATCAAAAGGAGCATAGTGCCTAGATCTAGGGAAGTCATGCTCCTCATGCTCTATTCCGCTTTGGTTAGACCACATCTGGAATATTGTGTCCAATTCTGGGCACCACAATTCGAGAGAGATATTGACAAGCTGGAATGTGTCCAGAGGGGGGACACTAAAAGGTTCAAGGGTCTGGAAAACAAGCTCTATGAGGAGCGGCTTAAATAGCTGGGCATATTTAGCCTGAAGAACAGAAGGCTGAAAAGTGGCATGACGGCCATGTATAAATATGTGAGAGGAAGTCATAGGGAGGAGGGAGGGAGCTTGTTTTCTGCTTCCTTGGAGACTAGGACGCGGAGCAATGGCTTCAAACTACAAGAGAGGAGATTCCATCTGAACATGAGGAAGAACTTCCTGACTGTGAGAGCCGTTCAGCAGTGGAACTCTCTGCCCCGGAGTGTGGTGGAGGCTCCTTCTTTGGAAGCTTTTAAACAGAGACTGGATGGCCATCTGTCAGGGGTGATTTGAATGCAATATTCCTGCTTCTTGGCAGGGGGTTGGACTGGATGGCCCATGAAGTCTCTTCCAACTCTTTGATTCTATGATTCTATGATGCCTCCAGCCTGGCATTTTTTTTCAATCAATAATAGCCAAGCTACCTCTATCCAAACACCCTCAATGATTGACTTTGCAGCTTCAAGGCTAGTCAATGTGAATCAAACTTGCTAATTGCAACATTCACCCTTGCTTGAAACAGGCAAGGGTTCTCTCTCCCACCCTGGACATTATTCTACATATATATACCCACTTACCTCACTAGCAACAGAACCTCTGAAGATACTGGTCACAGATGCAGGCAAAATGTCAGGAGAGAATGTTACTGCAACATGGTCATAGAAGCCACACAGCAACCCAGTGATTCTGGCTATGAAAGCCTTCGGCAACTTCAGATTAGTCGCAGACTTTATCCTCTTCCACTTTGTTTACAACTGTCTTGTTTCCGAAGTTTGGGGTGGCAAATTAAAATGAATCTAATTGAATGAATGAATCTAATTTTTAAAGGTCAGCCTTCAAAGAGAAATATGTTACTTAAAAAACTCAAAACAATGTCAAACATTGCTTTAAAGAGGATAAAAGACCAGAAAAAAGAGTTCTTTTTGAACCAATATAGTGAATGCTATTTTTTTAAAAAAACCTAAACTATATGTCGTGTTCCTAATATTTGGATTTTTCTTCTCTACAAAACAGTTTCATTTTGGCGCCTGGATGCCCAACTTCCCGCCTTCAATGAGGAAACCTCCTCCAACCACCAAAGGCACGGCGAACTTGGAGAACTATAAAGACACCATCCCGGAGATCAACACCACAGCCATCATTTTGAGTGCCCTTTGGCTACTCAGCGCCCCTCCAGGAGACATGGTAAGTGCCAAAAAAAGATCCAAGGCTTGGAAAAGTTACTTTTTGAAAGCATGGCTCTATTTTTAATACAACAGAACCCACCACCCACCTCCAGACAGCATGAAAGGAAAACTCAAACTTATAGAATCTAAGTATGCATTAGAAGACAGTGGATGATTTCCCCATAACCATGGACTGCACATTACAGATATTTGTAATTAGTAGTTTTAAGTGTGCATTTTCATGCCAGGATTGGCATGAATTGGAGAAGTCCACATAAGGTAGAGTTTCTCAGCCTGGGGGTGGGGAGCCCTGGGGGGGTGTCACCAAAGATAATCAGAAAACACAGATGAGGAAAACACGGATGAGCTCTCTCTGTCAGCTCCAGCTCCCCAAGCGGGGACATGAGAGAAGTTTCCCACAAGGTTGTTAAAATATCAAAACATCCAGGTGTCCCCTGGGCAATGTCTTTGCAGATGGCCAATTCTCTCACACTAGAAGCAACTTGCAATTTCTTAAGTCGCTCCTGACATGAAAAAAAAAATCAGAAAACACAGTATTTTCTGTTGGTCATGGTGGCTCTGTGTGGGAAGTTTGGCCCAATGCTATCATTGGTAGGGTACAGAATGTTCTTTAATTGTAGGTGAACTATAAATCCCAGTAACTACAACTCCCATATGTCAAGGTCTATTTCCCCAAACTCCATCAGTGTTCACATTTGGGCATATTGAGGATTTGTGCCAAGTTTGGTCCAGATCCATCATTGCTTGAGTCCAGAGTGCTCTCTGGATGCAGGTGAACTACAACTCCAGAACTCAAGGTCAATGCCCACCAAATCCTTCCAGTATTTTCTGTTGTTCATGGGAGATTTGTGTACCAAGTTTGGTTGGTACAGTCCAATGGAGTTGGTGGTGTAGTAGCATCAATTCAGTGCTGGTGGTCTTTGCTTCTTCCAGCATGATGCCATTTGTCCACCTTTCTTCCCAAGAGAATTGCAGGGTTTTTCGGACACAATGCTGATGGAATTGTTCCAGGAATTGAGTGTGACATCTGTAGACAGTCCACTTTTCGCAGGCATAAAATAGCGGTGGGAGGACAATGGCTTTAGAAACAAGCACCTTGGTCTGCCTACAGATGTCCCAATCTTCAAACACTCTGTGCTTCATTCAGAAGAATGTTGCACTCGCAGAGCTCAGGCGGTGTTATATTTCAGTGTCAATGATGACTTTTTGTGGAGAGGTGGCTGCAAATGTAGCGGAAAGGGTCAACATTTTCTAATGTTATACCATTAAGCTGTATTTCTGGCATTGGAGAGAGATTGACTAGTGCCTGCTGGAAGGGCACTTTGGTTTTCTTGATGTATAATAGGAGACTACGTTATCATCTGCATATTGGAGTCCTATAACAGATGTTGTGACTTTGCTTTTGGCTTTCAGTCTGCTGAGGCTCAAGAGCTTGCCATCTGTCCAATAGATGATTTCCACTCAGGTGGGAAGCTTCCCATCAACAAGACGAAGTATCATAGCCACCTCACCATGACGAGGTGACAATCTATCGAGGGTTTTTTTGGGCCTATAGACAGAGGAAAAGAGCTAGATTGACCCAAAACCAATGTTCTATTGAGGTGGCTTGAGAGTAACAAATTAGAGGAATGTAATGTTTTAAAAATTAAAACAAAATAAATAGATTCCCAGCCTTAAAAAATACAAGGAATAAGTTTAACAAACTGCTCTCCAATTACTCTAACAAGCAGTACGAATTGTGCTTTCCAAGATCTGAGGGGCTGCCTACGTTGTTTTTGTTTGTCCAAATTGTCTATTTTGTTCTCCATTAGATCCCGCTGGGCGAGTACCCGGATGAGCATTTCACAGAAGAAGAACCCAAAAGGCTCATTCTTGCCTTCCAAGAACAACTAAGGAAGATTTCCAAGGAAATTGAGGAGAGGAACAAGTCCGTGGCCAACATGGGGGTCCCTCTCAGCTACAAGTACCTGTACCCCCCAGATATTGAAAACAGCGTCTCCATCTGAACCAGGGGGAGAAATCTCCTCCAATAGCTGCTTATCCAGTCTCTTGGTTTCTGTATCTTATTTATGTGATTTTTTGGTATACATTTAATTGACATGATTTGCCCTGAAAAGGTAAATATCTGTTTGCACCAGGGTACATTCCTGGAATTAATGTGAATGTGCAAACATATGATGTCAGAGCTTGGGGTACGCAGCAGAAGGTTTGCTAGATCAACAGACACAGTACTCCAAAAATCAGGACTCTGCAGTCTTACAGTTGCAAAAGAAACTAAATTTTACTAAGTACATATAAGACACGTCTTCACACAGCAAGCTATAATCAGGAACTACAAAGCACAACACAACAGTTTCTGAACATCTGCTTATCTGACTTCTGGCTGAGACCAGATCCTCCCTCTTCTTCCCAGCCAAAGAACACGTTATCTCATTTCTGTCAAGGCTACATTTTCTCTGCCTCAGCCAGCATGTTTAATACACAAAAGAGCAGAATAGAATCCATCTTGAAATACATCTTAATCCATCTTGAATTACATAGAAACACACTGAAAAACACACATGCATAACTAAATAATCCTGACATATGAGTACTAGTGCACCCTATTGAAATGAAGGATTTTCACTCCCAAAATAGCATAGGGTTATCCCTTGAGAATGCTTGGAGGTGGTATATTTTGTTAGAAGTGGGTAAATGTAACCATGGATACTGGTTCCATGGATATGAATATTGTATCACAACTGTCTATCCACTTCATCACATTAGAAGCAGGAAAGTGTTTGGCAGAGTAGAGCTCTGTTTTGAAATGAAATGGATGGTTTATCTACCTTCATCACACTATTAAATGTATCCATGTTACTCAGTTGTACTTTTGAGTTTATTTGAGTTTATTTGCCTTCACACTATAAATATTTGGTCCCTCCCACCATCCCTCCCCATGTTCTTTGCAGTGAAAACTTCCTCTTTTTGAAATGTCAGTTGTTATGTGTCTTAATTTGGAAAGCAAGGAAGCAGGGAGAGAGGGAAAACGGCAATGTGCTCTCTCTCTCTCTCTCTCTTTCTCTTTCTCTCCTGCCCCACAGAGAAGGGTGTGGACCTTAGAAAACTATAACTCCCAGGACTGTATAGTATGGAGCTATGGTATTTAAAGTAAGTTCCAACTGCATTCATTTCACAGTGTAGATGCACCCAAAGAAAGTTCATGGACCTTGGGAAACTGCAATTCACTATACCCAATTCTCATAGAGACATGGCATTTAAGGTGGGGTGCAAGGGCATTCACTACATACTGTAAATGCACCAAGAGAAGCATATGGACCTCGGAAAACTATAACTCCCAGGACTGCACAGCATGGAGATATATCATCATCACCACCATCCTTTTCCCCTGGCTTTTCCATGCAACACAAGGCACAGACATGTCATGGAAGGAAGGGAAGGGAAAAGGAAAGGCCATTTTAAAAAAAGAAATTGTTCTGGCAAAGTAAAAACTCAAAGTAAAAAATCTCATCAGCATATCTGTGTTATTGTTTCCTCATGGACAGTGCTAGACATTGCAGCAGATTGGCTCCCTGCACAAACCATTCCCTAGCTGCCATTTCTCATGCCCAGAGAATCCTCGTTTGCAGGAAGTGATGTCAAAGGAATTCCCACCCAATCCTGTCTCAGATCCTGGCCAGCCCTCTTCTTAGCCAATCCGGGGAGTGAGCGGGAGATTTGTAAGGCTGTCAGAACTGCATAACATGTCCTGCACTTCGCTGTTCATTTATGCTTGTACTCTTTGAAGCAAATTGCTTGTACTTGCATCCTTTTGGCTGAATCATAATAAACCTCTGTGACTTGTTTTCAATCTAATGAGTTTGTTTCTCTGACCCGGCCCCTCTGGTTAGCTTACGCTCGCTGGGCATGGATTCTCTAACTACGGTCCTAGCTAAATCACTACAACCTGACTCTCATATTTTTATTCACAATGTGTTCTGATCTGTTACTGTATGTGGCATGCGGAAGGAGGGGGGGGGGGTTCTCTGAGAGATAACTTCCAATAGCAAGACCACTCACATTTTGAACTGGGGTGTGCATGCTTTCAGGTAACGATGGAAGGGCAGGCCTGTAGTGAGGGGGGGAGTTAGGGGTTCAACCCCCCACCCCGAAATGTTTCAGATTTTTTTAAAAACCTGGTTTACTCATGAATTTTAACTGTAGCAAGGGGGTGGTTTTAGGGGTTCAACCCCCCCCCCCGAAATGTTTCAGATTTTTTTAAAAACCTGGTTTACTCATGAATTTTAACTGGTTAACCAAATCCCCATGCTAAGTTTATGAGATGCAAAAAATTAAGAGTCCCTCCAGAACTGCAAGCACTATCTCAGGCAAATATTGACAATTTATTCACACTGTTTGGGACCCGCCTACCTGCTGTGACCGCATCTCTGTGTACGAACCCACACGATCTCTTCGTTCATCTGGAGAGGCCCTACTCACGATCCCACCTGCATCGCAAGTGCAATTGGCGGGGACGAGGGATAGGGCTTTCTCGGTGGTGGCCCCTCGACTCTGGAACTCTCTCCCTAAGGACATCAGGCAAGCCCCAGCCAGGATAACTGCATGCCCATCCCCCTCCAAACACCTACCCTTTTCACCTGGTCATGCCCAGCACTTTTTAATTTTAATTATTACATTTGGCCCTGCCACAGATTTTAATTGCGTCATGGTGTGTTGTTAATGTTATTGCCTTGTTTTTGAGTTATTTTTGTTATTGCTTTTGTTTATTGATGTGCTGTGGGGTTGGCCTCATGTAAGCCACACCAAGTCCCTTGGGGAGATGGTGGCGGGGTACAAATAAAGTTATTATTATTATTATTATTATTATTATTATTATTATTATTATGCAACCATGTTGGGGGGGGGATTGAATGCTCTCATTAAGGAGGCCAGACTTGGTGGAGGTGGTTGACAGGGGCGGAGCTGCAGGCTATTGAAGGCTGCTCTGCCCCCTGCTGTGCTCTTTGCTTCAGCGTGAGCTAGGAGGCAGGTTTCAACCCCCCCCTCCGAAATTTTCAACCCTCCCCCTTGAAATTTTCAACCCCCCACCCGAAAATTTCAACCCCTCCCGAAATTTTTTCTGGCTACGGCCCTGTGGAAGGGGGTTCTTGGCAAATTATAGAACCAGAGAGTTGGAAGAGACCAAAGGGGCCATCCAGTCCAACCCTATTCTGCCATGCAGGAACATACAATCAAAGCCCTCCAGACAGATGGCCATCCGGCCTCTGCTTAAAAACCTTAAGAAGAGGAGATTCCACCAGACTTCTAAGAAGTAACATATTCCACTGTAGAATGTATATGTCTTTCCTAATGTTTAGGTGGAATTGCTTTCTTGTGATTTGAATTCATGGCACCACTGTGTCGTAGTCTTTGGAGAAGCAGAAAACAGGGTGAATAAATTATGCCTCTTGGAAAACATTTTTGATCCCAACATTATCCCCAGGAGATGTCTTCTTAAACATAGGAACAGGAAGTTTGACCCAAGAGAGGGAGCATATACAGAAGGTTCCAGAAAATGCGTACACATTTAAGAAAAGGGAAAAAACTAATAAAATTGTAATGCTCAAAAGAGAAATGCAAGTCATGTTTGAGTTCTTCAAATAGAAGAGGTACTCAAAGTGTTCACCGTCAGTATCCAGGTTATGGTGAACTACTGCTTTAGCAAGTGTCCACTTGTATCACTGCATGTAACATTTCCATTTCTTCATTAAGTGCTGTCAATGTAGGCGGTTTTCTACAGTACATCACATAGAATCATAGAATCCTATCCTAGAAGCCATCCAGTCCAACCCCATTCTGCCAAGAAGCAGGAATATTGCATTCAAAGCACTCCTGACAGATGGCCATCCAGCCTCTGTTTAAAAGCTTCCAAAGAAGGAGCCTCCACCTCACTCCTGGGCAGAGAGTTCCACTGCTGAACAGCTCTCACAGTCAGGAAGTTCTTCCTCATGTTCAGATGGAATCTCCTTTCTTGTAGTTTGAAGCCATTGTTGCGTCCTAGTCTCCAGGGAAGCAGATAACAAGCTTGCTCCCTCCTCCCTGTGGCTTCCTCTCACATATTTATACATGGCTATCATATCTCCTCTCAGCCTTCTCTTCTTCAGGCTAAACATGCCCAGCTCCTTAAGCCGCTCCTCATAGGGCTTGTTCTCCAGACCCTTGAATATTTTAGTCGCCCTCCTCTGGACACATTCCAGCTTGTCAATATCTCTCTTGAATTGTGGTGCCCAGAATTGGACACAATATTCCAGGTGTGGTCTAACCAGAGCAGAATAGAGGGGTAGCATTACTTCTTAGATCTAGACACTATGCTCCTATTGATGCAGGCCAAAATCCCATTGCTTTTTTTGCCGCCACATCACATTGTTGGCTCGTGCTTAAACTTTGCATGTTTAACTTGTTGTCTGACAATGCTAAGTCCCCGCGGATAGATAGTAACCATCATCATTATATTATAATAATATTATTAATAATACTTTTACTAATGTTCTATCATCATTCTGTTATAATGTATTGTCGAAGGCTTTCATGGCCGGAATCACTAGGTTCTTGTGGGTTTTTTCGGGCTATATGGCCATGTTCTAGAGGCATTTTCCTGACGTTTCGCCTGCATCTATGGCAAGCATCCTCAGAGGTAGTGAGGTCTGTTGGAATTAGGAAAATGGGTTTATATATCTGTGGAATGACTGGGGTGGGGCAAAGAGCTCTTCTCTGCTGGAGCTAGGTGTGAATGTTTTAACTGACCACCTTCATTAGCATTGAAAGGCCTGGCTGAGCCTGGGGGAATCTTTTGTTGAGAGGTGTTAAGATGTGCCTGGTTGTTTCCTCTCTGCTGTTTTGCTGTTGTAATTTTAGAGTTTTTTAATACTGGTAGCCAGATTTTGTTCATTTTCATGGTCTCCTCCTTTCTGTTGAAATTATCCACATGCTTGTGGATTTCAATGGCTTCTCTGTGTAGTCTGACATGGTGGTTGTTGGAGTGGTCCAGCATTTCTGTGTTCTCAAATAATATGCTGTGTCCAGGCTGGGTCATCAGTTTTGTTTTCTGCTGCCTTGGAGAGTAGGATCCAGAGCAATAGCTTCCAATTATAGAAAATGAGACTGCACCTGAAAATTAGGAAGCACGTCTTGGCTGTAAGAACAGTTCAACAGTAGAACTCACTGCCTCAAGGTGTGGTAGTGGCTTCTTCTTTGGAAGCTTTCAAAAAGAAGCTGAATTGCTATCTGTCAAGAGGGCTTGCATAGTGCTTTTCCTGCATAGAATCATAGAACTGGAAGACACTGTGTGGGCCATTCACTCCAACCCCCTGCCATGCAGAAAAAGCACAAGCACCCCCCAACAAATGGACATCTGTTTGTTGTTGTTCATTCGCTCAGTCATTGGTGGGGTTCAGAATGCTCTTTGATTGTAGGTGAACTATAAATCCCAGTAACTACAACTCCCAAATGTGAATGTGTATTTTCCCCAAACCCCATCTGTGTTCATATTTGGGCATATGGAATATTTGTGCCAAGTTTGGTCCAGATCCATCATTGTTTGAGTCCACAGTCCTCTCTGGATATAGGTGAACTACAACTCCCAAATTCAAGGTCAATGCCCACCAAACCCTTCTGGTGTTTTCCATTGGTCATGGGAGTCCCGTGTGCTACGTATGGTTCAATTCCATCATTGGTGGAGTTCTGAATGCTCTTTGATTGTAGGTGAACTATAAATCCCAGCAACTACAACTCCCAAATGACAAAATCAATTTTTGAGTGATGGTCACTCATTGGCTTGACAGATGGTGTCCAAATTTGGTGTCAATTCGTCCAGTGATTTTTAAGTTATGTTAATCCCACAAAGGAACATTACATTTTTATTTATATAGATAGTTTTATTTAGTTTGTACAGAAAGCAAAGTTTGTGAAAACTGAACCACCAGAAAGCAAAAGTGTGATTCTCTCACTCCCCCATCTGGACCATTTTGGATTTTGGAGGACTTCAGGTTTCAGAATCCTGGAAAAGGCACCTGTAGAAATGTTTGTCCCCTTGTTGCCTGGCAGCATTGTTTTCACCTGGTAACTCATCCCAGTTGTCATCTGCAAAGTGTCAGCTGGCATGCCAATATTGGCTAATCTTGGAAGAATAGAAGCTTATGAGTTTTGCTTCCTCTAATGCAGATTATTGAAATACTCATAAAGTGCATTGATGATGGGAGCAAGTACAGCCTTGCTATATTGGTTTGTTTTTTTGTTGTGACAGGAGACACTTGAGAATCTGCAAGTCACTTCTGTTGTGAGAGAATTGGCCGTCTGCAAGGACGTTGCCCAGGAGACGCCTGGATGATTTGATGTTTTATCATCCTTGTGGGAGGCTTCTCTCATATCCCTTCATGAGGAGCTGGAGCTGGTAGAGGGAGCTCATCCGCCTCTCCCTGGATTCGAACCTGCGACCTGTTGGTCTTCAGTCCTGCCAGCACAGGGATTTAACCCACTGCGCTATATTGGTGTAATTTAGTCAGAGAATCCTATGCACAAATATGTCCCCAAAGTCCTAACTATCCAATTTTCTCCTTGCCACAGTGTCTGGACAACCAGATTACTCAATTATTCTTGAATATCCTTTCCATCATCCTCAACAGAGATCTTATCTAATCGCAATACGATGCTCGTACCCATAGTTTCCATTTATCCACTTCTAGAAAAATATGGCTTCTCTAGGCATTTTGTAGTCACTCCAGTGCAACACTAGGGTATTCTGGGGTGGGAAATCCTCAATAGAGTCTGTTATTATATGGGGGTTCGTATATCCACACAAATCAGGAAGTGTATGCTCCATGGATATAAGGATTGCAGTGTACAGCCAAAGCTTGGATGACAGCCACTGCTAAGGAAATACTTCACCCACAGCCTGATTCTGATAGCTATCTTTTCCAGGCAAATCATACCCATTAAAGATATGCAAAAATCCTGTTAGAGAAAATACAGAAACTGAGTGATTGGATAAGCAGCTATTGGAGTAGATTTTCCCCTCTGGGTTAGATGGAGACGCTGTTTTCGATCTCTGGGGGGTACAGATACTTGTAGGCGAGAGGGACCCCCGTCTTGGCCAAGGACTCGTTCCTCTTCTCAATTTCCTTGGAAATCCGTTTCAGTTCTTCTTGGAAGGCAATAATGAGCTTTTGGGGCGCTTCTTCTGTGAAATGCTTATTAGGGTAATTGCCCAGCAGGATCTGATATTGAAAAGAAGGGGGAACAAAACAGAACATTTGGACAAGGCAAAACAGCACAGCTAGACCTCCGACCCTGAAAAGCGACCTCAAAAAATAAGCAATTCAAAAGCACTTTGTTCCTGTTATTCATGGCACTGTTAAGGTTGGAATCCTTTTATACGTGTGTGTATGTATGTATACATACATACACACACACAACAACAACACACACATACATACATATACTAGCTGTGGCCAACATTCCCTCCCTCTTTCTCATCTTTCTTTCTCTCCTTTCCTTCCCTCCCTCTTTCCTTCCTTCTTCTTCCCTTCCACCCCCCAACTTTTCTTTCCCTTCCTCTTTCTCACTTTTCTTCCTTCTCTACCTATTCTTGAACTGCAACTCCCAGCTGTCCTCCTCCTGGATCGATCTACCTACCTACCTACCTATCTACCTACCTCTATCTAATTTATCTATCTGGAGGATTGCTGGGAGTTGCAGTCCAGGAATAGGAAATATTCCATAATAAAAAAAATAGGAAATATGCAATTATTGGGATGCTCTCAAAAAAATCCAAGGAGAAGGTGGCTTGCAGCTTGGAAGCAGTGCATTTGGATCATCCTCCTCTCCTAAAGGGCCTGGTCTAGGGGATGCTGGGAGCTGTAGTCCAGAAGAGAGTGTGGATATGCTATTGTGCCAGCATAGTCATTTTTGCACATGCACTGTAGCATCATTTTGCTTTTTTGGCTTTTTAAGTCCCTTCTGCTGTGTTTTTCAGTGTTTTTATGAGTGATGGCCTGATAGGTGTCTTGTGTCCAAATTTGGTGTCAATTCATCCAGTGGTTTTTGAGTTCTGTTAATCCCACAAATGAACATTACATTTTTATTTATATAGATACACACACACACATATGTATAGGAGCCCTTGCTGGTGCAGCGAGTTAAAGCACTGAGCTGTCTTAGTTTGGGAACCTCCTGGAATATATCAGCACACACACATACACACCAATAAAATGCAACTCTGATCTGCATGAACACAACTTTTTAACCACAAGCATCTACTGTGTGTGATCTAAGCTTAAAGGACGGAGGGAACAATCTTCTAATACATATTTTCATCCAGAAACTTCACTCTTTCCTTTCATTTTGGCTAGGAGTGGGTGGGAGTTCTGTTGTGCAAGAAAAGTGAGCTATGGTTTCAAAACGTAACCTGCCTTGGATACTATAAGAGCACTCACCATGTCTCCCGGAGGGGCGCTGAGTAGCCACAGGACACTCAGAATGGTGCAGGTGGTATTGATCTCTGGGATGGTCTCTTTGTAGTTCTCCAAGTTTGCTGTGCCTTTGGTGGTTGGAGGGGGTTTTCTCATTGAGGATGGGAAATTGGGCATCCAGGCGCCTAAATCAAACTGTGATTTTTTAAAAAATCATATATTAAGAATATAACATATACCTTTATATACTTGAGTATAAGCTGACCCGAATATATAAGCTGAGGCACCTAATTTTATCACTAAAAGTTGGGAAAACATGTTGACTTGAGTAATAGCCAAGGATGGGAAATGCAGCAGCTACTGGTCAATTTCTAAATAATAATAGATACCAATAAAATTACATTAATTGAGGCGTCAGGAGGTTAAATGCTTTTGAATATTTACATAAAACTGTAATTGAAGATAAGACCTTCCAACAACACTGGGACACCGTAACCCCCACCCCAAAACCCCTAAAACCCTTTTAAAAGTAAGGAAAACTTACCCTGCCTCCATTACAGTATTGCCGGAGCTCTAGAAATGACATGTCAGGAGACCTCTGGCAAGACTGTAATGGAGGCCAGGTAAGTTTTCCTTACTTTTAAAGGGGGTTTTAGGGGTTTTGGGGGAGGGAGGTGGGATTCCCACAGATTTCCAGACTAATTTAGTCTGGAAAACTGTGGGAATGGTATCTGGACTGCAGTCCAGACACTGGAAGCAGTGGATTTATCTCGTGCCTTCCAAGAATGTGTGGCATATTTATTTAAAACTTTTTTATCCCGATCTTCTCTACTTTCGTAGAGGGACTCAGACCAGAATAAATCCACTATCTAATTAATTCACCACAAAGCAGGATTTTCCTGGTTTGTGGCAAATTAATTGCCGGTTGGCCAAATGTCATCAGAAGTTTCCGCAATAAAGGGGTTGTCTGGATGGCCTTGGGTTATCCACACTCATAAAATGTAGGATTTTCAGCCTTGATATTCTGGGATATAGGGCTGTGTGGAAGAGACCTGGGAAACTGGTACTGTAATTGAAATAGAGATCATGTCCGCAAGGAGCCTGGAAAAGGTCCTTTTTTGGATTGCAAGTCTCCAAACTCCCAAGCAGCGTTCTCCCTGGCCATGGCAGCTGGGGGATTTTGGGAGCTGCACTCCAAAAACAGAAACATTTGTTTCAGTTTATAGATAAGTTCCAGAAAATTCTTGGCATGCCCTCTGTACTCCAGTTCACATGATCCTTTGGGGGAATCTCATAATGGAAAAAATCCTTTAAAACCCAATGCAGGTTTGGTGTATGTTGTGAGTTAATAGCCCTTTGGGACAAGGATATCCTCCTACCTGCCCACTGTTGACTGCTGAATGCTGGGCTGAACAGGTATAAAGCACCATAGTCAGGAACTTTTTCAGCTCTTGAACAGATGAGAGTGAAGAAGAGATTCCTGGAAAACAGAAGAAAGGGTGCAAATTCACAGTAGAAGTCAAGCCATGAGTTCTTTATAAAGGTCCAGATGCAGGAGTTGGGGGCATAGATCTCTAGACTTTCAGTATTCATTGCATTTATATAGTTTTAAAAGAAGTATTGAGTGCTCAAGTTCATCAAGACTAGCTCTGCACTATGGAGCAGGCATGGGAAAACTTTGGCCCTCCAGGTGTTTTGGACATCAACTCCCACAATTCCTAACAGCCTACAGGACCAAATTTGGCACAAATACCTGATACAGCCAAATTTGAATACTGGTGGGGTTGCAGGGGGATTGATTTTGTCATTTGGGAGTTGTAGTTGCTGGGATTTATAGTTTACCTACAATCAAAGAGCATTCTGAACTCCACCAACAATGGAATTGAACCAAACTTGGCACACAAAACTCCCATGACCAAAAGAAAATACTGGAAATGATCTTGAGTTTTGGAGTTGTGGTTCACCTACAACCAGAGAGCACTGTGGACTCAAACAATGATGGATCTAGACCAAACTTGGCTCAAGTACTCGATATGCCTAAATGTAAACACGGGTGGAGTATGGGTAAAATAGATCTTGACATTTGGGAGTTGTAGTTGTTGGGATTTATAGTTCACCTAAAATTAAAAAAGCATTCTGAACTCCACCAACGATGGAATTGAACCAAACTTGGCATACAGAACTCCCATGACCAAAAGAAAATACTGGAATTGACCATGAGTTTTGGAGTTTTAGGTGATCTTAAACAATAGATCTTGGCATTTGAGAATTGTAGTTGCTGGGATTTATAGTTCACCTACAATCAAAGAGCATTCTGAACCGCACATGCATATGTGTGTGTGTATGGAGTTAGATTTTTAAAATGTACCTGTACCTGTTCTGACTTACATACAAATTTAACTTAGGAACAAACCTACAGAATCTATCTTCTTCATAACTTGGGGAATGACTGTACTGTAGTCTCGCTTCTCCGACCTTTGCTTATCCGACATTCTGTCTTATCTGACACTCTTATCCAACACCCCCCTTTTCCTCCAGCATTTCCTCTTCAATTAAAGGAGTGCTCCCCATTTCTCACTCCATTCCCAATAAGTGAAAATGGCAAGACAAGGAGGAGGAGGAGGAGGAGGAGGAGGAGGAGGAGGAGGAGGAGGAGGAGAGAGGAAAGGATGAAAAGAGGCAGGACTGGAAGCAAAAGCATCCTCCCTCCTTCCCTCTGTGATTTCCACGCTCCTCTTCCACATCCAGGCACTTCCTACTGGGTTGCTCTAGCCCTGGGGCGTTGCCTTGCCTTAACTCTTTGAGCCCCTATTCTAGGTGTCTAGAGCCGAGTCGGACAGGTAACACTAGCAGGCTCCGTATTATCCAACATTTTCATTTATCCAACATTCTGCCAGCCTGTTTATGTCAGATAAGCAAGACTCTACAGTATAATCAATTGCAGATGCTTAGTCTATGATCTTCTCACTGCTATAGGAAGTTGACAGTCCTACCGGAAGATTTCTGAGACATAAAGCCTCTCTCAAAGACCTCCTCCATCCATTTCTGCAGCTCCCAATCTTCCTTCACAGAGCTGTCACTTTGATAATAGCAGTCGATGATGCCAGAGACAAAGCTAAGAGAAGAAGAGACAAAGAAGAGGTCAGTCAGGATGGAGTTCACCAGCAGCCCTAGCTCTCTCATCGATCCAGGGGTGTGTTTGGTCCACACTTTCCAATGAGCAAACTGTATTTATGTTCCTCAGACCAATATAGGAATCAGAATCAGAACTGGAGAAATGTAACGTTTTTTACTACAGGTCCCAGTCTCCCTCTGCCAGCATTCCCAAAGCAAAGCAACCTGACCTTTGTTCCCTGGCTAATATGTAGGTGAGAAAAAAATAGCTTGGAAAAGTTGAATTACAGCTCCCAATATTCCCCAATATGGCCAAGACAAAACAACCTAGGATGGCTAGAGTCGTTGAACGTGAGATGCTGGGAATTGTAATCCAAAGTTAAGGAACATTCCCAAGCTCTGCAGTATTTCATAACTACTCAATACCAGGTCCACTGAATTGACAAGACCCAGTTTGGCCATCTGTGAGAAGCCTAATAGTTCAAAAATAAGGAACTTTCCCAAGCTTTGTAACATCTCCCAGACGCCAGACATCAATGAGATGACCACAAGACCATCCAAGACCCATCAGGTCCAACACAAATGGATACAAATAAATAGTATAACAGCCACCACAATTGCCCCTGACTGACCTCTCCACGGCTGCCCAGAGCTTCAGGCCATCTTCCTTGTAGTAGTAATGGGGCAACGAGGAGACCCCACGAGCCTCCAGATCTTCCGGAAGGCAGAGCGAAGACAAGGTCAAGGCATTGGTTCCTCTCTGCAACACTTCCACCAATCCCTTGAAACCGACACCAGTATGCTGCAGTAGGAAGGAGTTGGAAAATTCAGAGCTGCGGACAACCTTTTGCATTGTATCAGATGCAGCATTCATTTCTCTTTCACTACTGGCTTGCAACATCTTATTGATACATTTCTTTAATTAATTCGCAAATTGGACTCTCCCAGCCAACACGATCAATGGCAAGTTTTGGGTTTTGTTTTTTTGAGATCTCAGTTTTCAGAACTAATCAGATGAACTTGACAGTCTCTTTCTTCTCAGGAATCCTGTATTTCAGGGAAGCAGACTCGAGTTCTCTAGCAAAGAACTGTTTACATAGAATCATAGGAAGTAATGCTACCCCTCTATTCCGCTTTGGTTAGACCACACCTGGAATATTGTGTCCAATTCTGGGCACCACAATTGGAAGAGAGATATTGACAAGCTGGAATGTGTCCAGAGGAGGGCGACTAAAATGATCAAGGGTCTGGAGAACAAGCCCTATGAGGAGCGGCTTAGGGAACTGGGCATGTTTAGCCTGAAGAAGAGAAGGCTGAGAGGAGATATGATAGCCATGTATAAATATGTGAGAGGAAGCCACAGGGAGGAGGGAGCAAGCTTGTTTTCTGCTTCCTTGGAGACTAGGACGCGGAACAATGGCTTCAAACTACAAGAGAGGAGATTCCATCTGAACATGAGGAAGAACTTCCTGACTGTGAGAGCCGTTCAGCAGTGGAACTCTCTGCCCCGGAAGTGTGGTGGAGGCTCCTTCTTTGGAAGCTTTTAAGCAGAGGCTGGATGGCCATCTGTCAGGGGTGATTTGAATGCAATATTCCTGCTTCTTGGCAGGGGGTTGGACTGGATGGCCCATGAGGTCTCTTCCAACTCTTTGATTCTATGATTCTATGATTCTATGATTCATAGAATTGGAAAAGACCTGGTGGGCCATCCAATACAACCCCATTCTGCCAAGAAGCAGGAAAATTGCATTCAAAGCACCCCCGACAGATGGCCCTCCGGCCTCTGCTTGAAAGCCTCCAAAGAAGGAGTCTCCACTACACTCCAGGGCAGAGAGTTCCACTGCTGAACAGCTCTCTCACACAGTTGGGACATTCTTCCTCGTGTTTGAAGCCATTGCTCCATTTAGTCCAAGTCTTTCCTTAAGCGGCTGAGGGGGGAAAGGAAGGGGCCTGAGGCTGTTAGGAATTGTGGGAGTTGAAGTCCAAAAAAACACCTGGAGGGCCCAAGTTTGCTCATGCCTATTTTAATAAATAGCTCCATCATGGACTAGTACAGCTGTAATCGGAAAATAGCTCCATCATAAACTGGTGTAATTGCTATCAGAAGGCAAAATGTGGGCATCTGATTGCGATCTCCTCCTTTTCGCCTTCCTTGGAAATATCTTTTGAAACTTCTTTGTCCGATGAAGAAATCTTTGTAGGCCGGCTCTGCTTCTTTTCCCAAGATCAGATGGGATCTGGTGCCTTTCGGGCATTTGGACCACTACGTTACACAAGAGGCAGAATGGAACAGGAAAAGATGTCAATTGTGAGCGTGGCTGTAAATCTTCACAGATGTGTGTGAGATAATAACCAGGTCTATAAAGGGACTGATAGTCATCTTTAAAGTCATCTGCTACTATTCAAACGTGGCAGCAATGCAGATTTTGCTAGCCTTATCTGGAATTACAAAATCCAAAAGACTCCAAATCCTAAATGGTCTACTTGTGTGGCTGAGATAAGGATCCCTTTGCTTTCCAATGGCTCAATGCACACAAACTTTGTTTCGTGCATGAAAGTATTTTAAATTTTGCGTGTCAACTTACCTTCAGGCTATGTCTCTATGAAATATAAATGTGTCAGGATGTGCCTTCATGTTTCCAAGAAATTCCAAGAAGTCTTCTTCCTGACACTAGAGGGAGTAGGCATGATAGATTAGTTTATAGTAGGGCCATCTGGGCCAAGCTTTCACTTTGAAGATGTGGGAAAGGAATTGTAGTCTAAACTGTGATAAGCAAAGGGGAGAAGGGGGGAGTGAAGCCAGGAGGGGGATCGGGAGGCGCTTGGCGGGAAACCTCAGTTCTCTCTTTGGCTTTGTACTGTATGGACTGAATAAACCGCAATTCCAGGATTTGTTCTTGTGAGTGTGTGTTTCATTCTGAGATCCAGCGGAACCTGACATAAAGAGAGAACTCACAACTTCTTGCTCTACCTGTGAGGACTACAACTATCCGGGAAAAGAGCATGTTCCAGGAAGGAGAAACCCCGATGGGAGCTGAAGAGAGCATTGGGGCTTCCCCCTCCCCGGGGCTGGAAAACGAGGGGTTCGGGGACGAGGAATCTTCCCACGACGGAGACCCAGAGATGGGAAGAGAACTCCCAGCGGTGCCTGAAGACTGGAGGGCCCCCCTGACGTCCACGCAGATGCCTCCAAGGAAGGATGTAACAGTGAGACGCAAGCTGCCCATGTTGGGAGTGCGGGAGCCCCTCAGAGAACCCTCGCCCCTCGGCAGCGCATCGGCGCTGCCTGCGCAGCACCTCGGGGAGAAAGTGGATGCGATGGAGAGAATACTGCAAACTTTTTCATTCCAACTGGAGGAGATGAGAAGGGAGGTGGCAGCATCGTGGAGAACCACGCTGGAGGAGAGGGAGCAGCGACGCTCCCAGCCACAAGGTATGGGGCGTGGGTATCGACCCTCGGGGAGAGTGGCGTTCGCTACGGAGGGAGAGCAACCCCATCCCCCCCCCGGGACCTCGGCCTTCACCTTGGGATGGGCGGGGAGAAGCCAGCTGCATGGAGGCCCCGGGAGAGGAGAACTGCGCGTAAAGTTCAACGGAGACCCCAAACAGCTCTCCTATTTCATCACAAATGTGAGACACTTTATGGAGGACTATGGGGACACTTTCCCCTCAGAGGGAGCCATGATCCATGCAGTGGGGGCCAATTTGAAGGAAGCTGCGGCCGATTGGCTCATGCAAATGTACGACACCCGAGCACCTGAGTTGAGGAGACTGGATGACTTCTTGGGAGTGCTCCGGGAGAGATTTCAAGACCCCTTGGCGGAGGAAAAGGCAAAGGGGCAGCTTAAGAAAATCTACCAGGGCAATAAGACTGTTTCTGAATATGCCTTGGAGTTTAAGGCCATCGCAGGCAGAATTAGGGACTGGTCGGAAGCCACAAAGCTTGAATACTTCCGAGCGGGCTTGCGCTCCGATGTGTTGGAGTGGTCGCTGCACCGGAACAACCCAAACACGCTCGAGGAGTGGATTGTGCTGGCGGGGAGGGTCGAGTGTGACCAGGAGCAGATGCCGCGCAGAGTGAGAGAGAGAGGGCGAACCCGACACCCCGCAGCAGGGCCGCAGGGAGGGCCAAGACGCCCCTCGCCCAGAGGAAGGTCAGCCAGCCGCGAGAGGAAAGGGAGGAGGGGCCCCTGCTTCGCGTGCGGCCAGGAAGGGCACAGAGCAGCGGAATGCCCAAGAGGACGCGACCCACCCAACGCTCCCAAACCGGCCAAGACACCCCCCGAGACCAGCGCCCGGATCCAAAACCACGAAGGGGAAAGCCTCCACGGCAGTGGAAACGGCCTTGGCCCCGCACCAGCTTCCCGCAGAGGAGGAGGCGGAACTGGAGGATGCAGACAGAGATTCCTATCTGGCGGGAAACGGGCAAGATCTCCTGTAAGCACCGCCAGCAGGAAGATCGTGAAGACGTCAGGCGGTGAGTTAAAGAAACTAAATTGTGAAGTGCTTAAAATGACTGTGGTCCTGACCAACCCCAGGTCAGGGCTGAAAATAAAAACTGAGGCCATGCTAGACTGTGGGTGCACCAGGTGTCTAATCACCCCCTCCCTGGCAGCCAAACTGGGAGTTGAGCCCCAGGCCTTAAAGACACCAGTCATTTTCTCCCAGTTGGATGGGACAGCAGCCCACGGGGCCCCAGTAAGGGAAAAAACAGACTATTTACACATGGAGATGGGGACCCACAGAGAGTCTTTGCAGTTTGTGATATCCCCCATGGCCCACCAGCCAGTCATACTAGGGATCCCGTGGCTGAAATGGCAAAACCCTCAGATTAACTGGACGGAGGGAGTGTTTACCTTCGCGGATGGCGAATATAGGCCTGCGGGGCTCAGCCAGACACCCCCCCCCCGCACAGATACAAGGGGCGCAGGCAGAGGCGACTCCGGAGGACCATGAATTTCACATCCCAGAGGTTTACCGGGAGTGGTCAGACGTTTTTAGCGAGACAGAATGTGATCAACTACTCCCGCATAGAAAAACAGACTGTGCCATAGAATTTGAGCCAAATGTCAAATTACCCAGCCCAAAGCTCTACGCCATGTCTGAACTGGAGAGAAAGGCCTTGAGAGAATTCCTGGATAAAAACCTGGAAAGGGGATTTATCGTGCCATCCACCTCGCCGGGGGCGGCCCCAGTGCTTTTTAGGCCTAAGGCCGATGGATCGCTGAGGCTGTGTGTGGACTACAGGGGGCTGAACGCCATATGCACCACCAACCAGTACCCCCTCCCCCTCATGTCAGACATCTTGGCACAACTGGGCAAGGCCAAAATCTTTACAAAATTGGACATCAGGGAGGCGTTTTATCACCTGAGGGTGAGGGATGAGGACTGTTGGAAGACTGCTTTTAATTGTTGTTATGGGTAGTACCAATGGGCCGTGACACCCTTCGGTTTAAAAAGAGCTCCAAAGGTGTTCCAGCAGTTCATAAATGACATTTTCCGAGACATGCTGTATGATGGACTGCTGATTTACCTGGATGACCTTTTGATATACTCAGACTCCTTAGATCAACACATAAAAACGACATGAAAAGTGCTCCAAATCCTGAGGGAGAACCAGCTTTATGTTAAGCTCTCTAAGTGTGAGTTTCACCAAACAGAACTCACTTACCTGGGCTTCCGCATATCCACAGAGGGGCTGGCCATGGACCCAGCCAAGATACAAGATGTGCTAGCATGGGAACCTCCCCGCACCCGAAAACAGCTGCAAGGGTTCCTAGGATTTGCCAACTTTTACCGGCAATTCATTAAAGACTTCGCCAAGGTGGCGCTGCCCCTTACTGAGTTATTAAAAACAAAAGGGAAGGGGGAAACAAAAAAGGCAAAAACCCCGGGGCCTAGACTACAATGGACACCTGAGTGCCAGAGGGCTTTTGAAGACCTAAAAGCAAAATTCACAAGTCAGCCCATCCTAACACATGTCCAGCCAACCAAGCCTTTTGTGGTACAATGCGATGCCTCGGAGGCAGCTTACGGGGCGGTGCTCCTACAAGCTGACGATGAGGGTCAGCTTAAGCCATGTGCTTATTTATCAAAAAAGTTCTCAGAGACTGAAAAGCGCTGGCATGTCTGGGAAAAGGAATCCTTTGTGGTGCGAGCGGCACTGGCCCACTGGCGGCATTTCCTTGAGGGTACCCAAATTCCTTTTGAGGTGTGGACAGACCACAAAAACCTACAAGCCCTGCAAACCCCACAGAGACTTAACGCCAAGCATCTCAGATGGGTTCAATTCTTTCAGCGGTTCAATTTCCGCCTCAAGTTCGTCCCGGGAAAGACGAACCAGGTGGCAGACGCCCTCTCGCGCATGCCTGAGGCAGACTATTCATTCCCCACGGAGGCAGGAACGATCTTTAACCAACAGCAGATGGGATTGGTAGTACAGACCCGGGCCAAACTCAAAGACAAACCACCACCCCCCAGTCAGCCAGCCGAATTGTTACAGAGGTTGAGGGAAGCGACAGAACAGGATGAGTGGTTACAACAACACAAAGGGGACCTGACCCAAGAGGGGGGGCTCTGGTCTTATGGGGCCAAATACTATGTGCCAGCCTCCATGCGAAAGGACATAATTAAGGGGGGCCATGACTCGCTGCTGGCGGGCCACTTTGGGTTCACCAAGACCCTCAAACTGCTGGCCCGTCAGTTCTGGTGGCCCGCTATGCGCAAGGACATAAGAGACTATACCCGGGAATGTCCAACCTGCGCTAAAAACAAGCAAAAGGTGGGGAAACCCACGGGACTGTTACAACCAGTGGCCAACCCCACACAACCCTGGTCAGAAATCGCCATGGACTTTGTAGTAGAACTGCCAGATAGCCATGGATATAACACCATCTGGACGGTGATTGACCTCTTTTCCAAACAGGCCCACTTCGTGGCCCTGAAAAGACTTCCCACGGCCCCTGAACTGGCAAAGCTGTTCCTTCACCATGTATTCAGGTTACATGGCTGCCCACGCAGGATTATAACCGACAGGGGCACACAATTCACATCCAAATTTTGGAAGTCCTTTTTGTCCATGCTAGGGACAGAGCGGGCACTAAGTACAGCTTTCCACCCAGAGACTGATGGGGCCACCGAGAGAGTCCAGAAAACCTTGCAACAGTTCCTAAGATGCTACTCCACTTATCAACAAGACAATTGGGCTTCCCTGTTGGACTTCGCTGAGTATAGTTACAACAATAGCGAACATGCGTCCACGGGATCTTCACCTTTTAAAGTTGTGGGAGGTAGAGACTTTCCCCCGTTCCCCGGCCTCACACCCCTGGGGCCAGGAGAGACTTCACCGGAGGGATGGGGAAAGATGATTGCAGAGGCCTGGCCTGTTGTCAAAGAGACTTTAGACAAAGCCAAGACTGACTATAAAAAGTTCGCTGACAAAAAGAGATCGCTGCAACCCCAGCTCAAGGTGGGAGACCTGGTCTACCTGTCCACCAAATATTTGAAATCCACCCAACCGTCCCGTAAATTGTCAGCTTTGTATATGGGGCCCTTCCCCGTCCAGGAGGTCGTCAACCCGGTCACAGTCCGGCTGGAACTGCCCCACACTTGGAGGAGGGTACACCCAGTCTTTCACGTGAGCTTGTTAAAACCCGCGTGCCCCTCTCCTAAATGGTCGGAGGCAGATTCCCAACCAGTCCCCATCATGGTGGGGGCCCACACTCATTTTGAAATCAAAGACATTTTGGACTCTAAACGGGCACGGGGGAAGTTATATTACTTGGTTCAGTGGTCCTCTAAGACCATCCATCCGGAGTGGGTGTTACAAGAACATGTCAACGCTCCGCGCCTTATAAAAAAGTTCCACTCTGCCTTCCCTCTAAAGCCTAAACCTTGATATTGTGTCTCATGTTTCTCTCTTTTTCTTTCAGATGGGGGCCATCTTCCGAGGGGGGGAGATATGTCAGGATGTGCCTTCATGTTTCCAAGAAATTCCAAGAAGTCTTCTTCCTGACACTAGAGGGAGTAGGCATGATAGATTAGTTTATAGTAGGGCCATCTGGGCCAAGCTTTCACTTTGAAGATGTGGGAAAGGAATTGTAGTCTAAACTGTGATAAGCAAAGGGGAGAAGGGGGGAGTGAAGCCAGGAGGGGGATCTGGAGGCGCTTGGCGGGAAACCTCAGTTCTCTCTTTGGCTTTGTACTGTATGGACTGAATAAACCGCAATTCCAGGATTTGTTCTTGTGAGTGTGTGTTTCATTCTGAGATCCAGCGGAACCTGACAAAATGCATTTCATGTGTAGACTTGGGTCACATCTCCATGTATATATAAATATTCCGTCTTGGAACATGTCTGGTCCCAAGTATTTTGAATTAGAGATATTCATAGAATCATAGAGATGGAAGAGACCTCATGGGTCATCCAGTCCAACTACATTCTGCCAAGAAGCAGGAAAATTACATTCAAAGCACCCCCGACAGATGGCCATCCCGCTGGATAATGATTTTAACAGGATGACACTGGTTATTATATGTTTTTAATGGTTTTCAAATGGTTTTTATATTATTTTTTAAAATAATAATTAGGTTGAATGTTTTTTTATGAATGTATGACATCAAATTCTGCCAATTCTGTAAGCTGCCTTGAATCATAGAATCCTAGAGTTGGAAGAGACCTCATGGGCCATCCAGTCCAACCCCTTTCTGCCAAGAAGCAGGAAAATCGCATTCAGCGCACCCCTGACAGATGGCCATCCAGCCTCTGTTTAAAAGCCTCCAAAGAAGGAGCCTCCACCACACTCCGGGACAGAGAGTTCCACTGCTGAACAGCTCTCACAGTCAGGAAGTTCTTCCTCATGTTCATGTTCATCACCAAACTACAAAAGGAATATGGTTTGACAGAGAAAGGGCTGGATTTGACAGGGATAAGGAATAGATAATACAAAGACAGGAAGATGGCCACTGGGATAAGGGAACCGATTGAGGATTTAGGGAACTGTGACTGATGGAGACTTCAAGGATTAATATATTCATTGCATGCTAACATTTAGAAGTACGAACAGACCCAATGGAGATGGAAATCCTGAACCACTTACCTTATCAAAGACACCCCCTTGAGAAACGAGACTGTCCCGTGCCACAGTGTTGATGTGAAGGGTGTAGCGCGTGTGAGGAATCAGGAGCTATGGAAGCAAAAAGTGATAAGCAAAATGGCCTTTCAGTCCCATGGTTTCCTCTCGTCCATGATCTTGTCTGGTTTGACCAAAATCTGCATCAAAAACCCTACAGAAGTTTGCCTTCCAGACAAGCCCTATATTCCAGGATCTGATCCCAGGTTTTCTGCTGGGATAAACAGAGAACCTGGATCAGATCCTAGGATATAGGGCCAGTCTGGAAGGGCCCTGAGTCTTACAAAATGAAGAGTTTCTGCAAATAATTGCACAGTGAATATCAATGTCAATAGGGGATTGGTTCTAGGCTTGATATATATTATTGCTTATTTTTGAATGATTTCAGAGCTAGCATAATGTAGCGATCTGAGAGTTGGACTCTGGAGACCCATTTACCTGACCATTTTGGACCTCACCTTGTAGAGCGGATGACACGTGGGCAGCTGGCGGATGGTGGCCATGGTGAACACCTCAGCCAACAGGTGCGTCCGGAGCAGATGCGTGATGGCCTGGTGGACATGGAAGTCAGCATTGCGCACCCAGGTTTTGGCCAGGATCCAATCCCATTCGGAGTCACTCGGCAAGAAGATGGGCGACTGAGAACCTGGGGTCTGGCTGAGCTACACAAAGGGAGGAGAAGATATTATGACATGGGACCCCTGGAAGACTCAAACAGGACAGAAGGAAGCAAAGGGCGAAGTCTGGAATCCAGATCAAACCAGAGACTGGAAAGTCGCAGAATCTCTCCAGATAGCATAGTGACCATACAATCCATGCTCACCAGAGAGACTCACCAGAAGGATTCCATGCTCACCAGAGAGACTTCAAATACTGCAAACATAAGAACATCTTGCAGGAAAATTCTTGCATTCTTTCTCCGCATCCCTCTTGCTGTGAGAGCACCAGGATCTCTTGCATGTTGAATCCTTCTTCTTATTCCTCTCATATAAACCCTTACATTTGCTCATAATGACCTTTGAAAAGCATGGTCGTAAATACCTTCCTTGAGTACTTTGATTATTTAAAGCCCCCTTCTACACTGCCATATAAAATCCAGATTATCTGCTTTGAACTGAATTTTTCCAAATGTTCAGAGAATGATGGAGATGATGGGTTCCAAAATGAGGCATCTGTGAGTGTTCAGAGGGAATTGCAAGCAGGTCAGACTGACCGGGTTGATGTCTGGAATTCTTTAGATCATTCCCAGGCAACCATGGAAACTGAAAGTACCAGTTTCCATTGAGAAAAGGCCTTGGGAAGATGAGGAGGTTTCAAGGGAGTGTAAATAAGACTTGAGAACACAGGATGTGAAAAGCAGGCAAACTAGGTCTTCCCAGCTGGTTTGTGATAAGACCATGAAGTCCAGGTGCCTTAGGCATGATCTCATGGGAGCCTGGGCAGGCTTAACTTAAGTGGTTTGGCTTCAAGCATCTCAGAGGAGACAACGTTGCTATTGGGGATTGGTCTCCTGTTCATGTTTCCAAGTTCCTGGGTGCTGTATTATCAAGATTATTGTTTTATGTTCCTGTCTATGCTTATGTATCTTTAGAGAGTTTACCTGGGAGAGATTCCTGTTTTCATGTTCATGGAAATACCTTAGATTAATTCTGTGTTTTTGGATTTCTTGGTTCTGGATTTACCCTGGCATTATTGGATTACTGCTATTGAATTCTGTCTTATTTTCTGTATTGCTTTTATATCCTGGCTGTCTCTTATGGATTTTCCATTTTCCCTTTTTATATACTTTCTTCAATAAACTTTTTATTACTGGATCACTGGACTCTGGTGTGGTGTTGAGTGAAAGGGTGTCTCAGGGCTAGGGTGCAACACAAAGTCTCCCCTTCTCAGTCTTACCTCTCTTCTGAACCCTCTCAATGCTCTTCCTGTAATTTCTGACCATATTTTGTTCCTTCATCAAAAGGTAGTGAATTAAGAATGAAGACTTGATATTTTTTTATTATTTAGTTAGGATCTAGGATCCTCAAGCATATGTAAATGCAAAGCAATTGCTAAACTTTCAAGTTCATAATCTATAACTCCCCTTTTTGTTTTTGAGTCAACAAGGAAACTCAGGAAAGCAACATAGAGAAACTGAGGCATGCGTTGTCTGCTACTTTACTAAAGGAAGGCCAATTTTGAACAGTTTTAGGTTTTGTGCTTTCCCCAAAAAAGGGCCGGCACCTGAGAAACACTAATTCCCAGCACACCCTAGTTCCAATGGCTCCCCATCTGGAAAATATCGTACCTGAATGGCCAATGGCATGAGATGCTTCTGAGCGGAGAGGTGCAGCAGGCACAAAGGGGCAGCGACGTACTGCTGGCGCCCATTATTCACTCCAGCCGGGACCCCATCCAGGAGCTTGTAGTCCGCAATGAAGATGTTGCCCTTCTATGGTGGAGAACACAGACACAAACTGTGAACAATGGAGGAAGCCACGAATTTGATTGCAGTTCCTAACACCCGTAGTCACCTTCCCGTATCTGAAGATTCCTGATGCTACACCCTCCAACATTTCCCAATATTCGTCAAGCAGCATTGATGTGTCTTCAATATGACAAACATTATGGAAGAGCAAACTAGGGCTCCTTCTACATTGCCATATAAAATCCAGATTTTCTACTTTGAAGTGGATTATATGGTAGTGTAGACCAAGGGTCCTCAAACTTTTTAAACAGAGGGCCAGGTCCAGGCATGTAGCCGGGGGGGGGGCTGAGGGCTTCAGCCCCCCCCCCCCCCCGAAATTCTAATGGTGGTTCGCAAAAAGGCCTTACTGGTGCATTATTTAAACTGTTATGTTTATTCATATCATGATCTGATCACCATACTCAATATATCCCATATGCATGGGGGTATTGGGGTAATGATACAAAAGGTTTGCTAGGCTAGACCCTCTTTCACTCAGACTCAGCCCCCCCAAACTCAGCCCCCCCGAAACCCCCCCTGAAAAAAATTCCCCCCCCCCCCCCCCGAAACGAAATCCTGGCTACGGGCCTGGCCAGGTCACAGTCCCTCAAACTGTTGGAGGGCCGGATTACAATTTGAAAAAACAATGAATGAATTCCTGTGCATACTGCACATATCTTATTTGTAGTGCAAAAAAAAAACCCATTTAAAAACAATACAATAATTAAAATGAAGAACAATTTTAACAAATATAAACTTATTAGTATTTCAATGGGAAGTGTGGGCCTGCTTTTGGCTGATGAGATAGGATTGTTGTTGTTGTTGTTGTTGTTGTGTGCTTTCAAGTCGTTTCAGACTTAGGTTGACCCTGAGCGAGGGCCGGGTAAATGACCTTGGAGGGCCGTATTCGGCCCTCGGTCCTTAGTTTGAGGACTCCTGGTGTAGACTGATAATGATAATGACACTTTATATTCTGCTCTATCTCCCCAAGGGAACTCAGAACTGATTACACCATACGCAGATAGGCAAACATTCAATGCTTTTAATACAGTGGAATAACAATGACGTGCAAATACACAGAACAAAGGTAAAGGCTTCTCCTTTCATTTCCAGCTTTCTGGCCATGGGAAGGTGCTCCTGTTCTATTTCCAAGCTGGGGGGCCTGTGGTCTGTAGACACCTCCTGGTTGTGTTTTGCCAGCAGAGCTGCATGGGCACCTTTATTAACTTCCCGCCAAAGTGGCACCTATTGATCTACTCACATTTGCATGTTTTTGAACTTGGCAGGAGCTAGGGCTAACAGCAGGAGCTCACCCCAACCCGCGGCTTCAAACTGCCAGCCTTTAGGTCGATATAACCCAGTTCAAAGCAGATAATGTGAATTTTCTGCTTTGATGATCTGGATTATATGGCAGTGTAGAAGAGGCCTAGGAGAAGATGCAGTAGTTAGCTCTGGCCTGAGCCTCTGTCCACTCCTCTCCTCTTTCCCTCTTTTAAGGAGTTAGTGGAGCGCAAACTATTTTTGCATTTGAACTTGGTTTGCAGCAATGGAAGGAACCAGAGGAGAAAAGGGGAGAGTGGGAGAAAAAGAGAGAATCCAGGACATTTTAAGAGCAGCTGGAAAAGAGGAGTGCAGAGGATCAGTTGGGACCATCCCTGCCAAAAATAGTTTGAGACCATGGGCCCCTGCACACAGCCATATAATCCAGAATATCAAGGCAGATAATCCTCAATATCTGCTTTGAACTGGGTTATCTGAGTCCACACTACCATATAATCCATTTCAATGTGGATTTTATACAGCTGTGTGGAAGGGGCCTGAGACATGGACACTGGGTAAAATAGAAACAATATTGCTTTCTTGCATTCTAGTTAGTTTTTTATAACAGGCTTCCTAACGCTTGCTTCCTTTCCTACCTTTAGCTCTTTCTCCAGCGTGGTGTCCTCTCCGAGGAATTTGGCCACCATCTCATTAGTCACAGGGAAATTTGGTGGGATCTTGGTGCATCTCTGGATCATTCTTGGGTTCAGCCCATTGAGGAACTGACACCCAAATAATGCATCTTCTTTCCAGTGCTCTGTGACATATTCTAGAATGGGAAACAAGAATTCAGCTCAGCAAGTTCAATTTCCAAGATGGGATTAAGTCAAGAATGCAGACTCCTTTTGCATATTGAACTCAGTGTGAAGCCCCCAAAGCAAACCAAAGGCAGAAGAGGAAGGTGGGAAGAACAGAAAAGAACCTGGACATTTGAAAAGTAGCTCAAAAGGTGGGGTGTCAAATGCTTATAATCAGGACTATCTGTCCCAAATCAGAATTATTGGTTAGTCCCAACTGGAGTAGACCTATGGAATGATAAACGTACTCACGAGTATATCCTGGGAATTCAATGTGTCTGGGGCTAACAATAAATGTAGGTCAACAAAACTCAAATCATAGTTATTCAGTTCTTATTATATTTGCATCTACGTTGTAGAATGTATGCAGTTCGATGCCAGTTGAAGTGTCATGGCTCATTGCTATGTGTGCCAAAGAGGGATAGTACCGCACCAAATGATAATTCCTAGAATTTCATAGTATTGAGCCATGGCACTTCAAATAGGGTCAAACTCCATTGATTCTACAATACTTTGTGTCTTAGTGATTCAGGTCTGAATTCTATAATATTTTCTGGGATGGAAGGGGGCATAGTTTACCCTTGTGTAAATCAAACCCAGGAATTTTGCATCCCATTTGCAATGGGTTGCTTCTTGTCATTACATCAAACCTAAGTGGTGGGCTAGGTTATGAGAATATGACCCAGCTATCTGATTTTACTCAGAAAGCTAAAACTAGGACTTATGAGACGTTGCTTCTATTTAGTATTTTCTTTCTCTCAAGACCTTCTAATGGAGTGGTTCTTAAACTTCCTAATGCCACGACCCCTTAATACTATTCCTCATGTTGTCATGACCCCCAGCCTCTAACAACCACCATGTCAGACTACACAGAGAAGCCATTGAAATCCACAAGCATGTGGACAATTCCAACAGAAAGGAGGAAACCATGAAAATGAAAAAAATCTGGCTACCAATTTTAAAAAACCCTCTAAAATTAGAACAGCTCAACAACAGAGAGGAAACAAACAAGGACATCTAATCACCTCTCAACAAAAGATTGCTCCAGGGACTGTCAGGCCATTATATGCTAATCAAGGTGATCAGCTGAAACATTCACACCCACCTCCAAAAGACAAGAGTTCTTTCTCCCTCCCTGGTCATTCCACAGATATATAAACCCTTTTTCCTAGTTCCAACAGACCTTACTATCTCTGAGGATGCTTGCCATAGATGCAGGTGAAACGTCAGGAAAAAATGCCTTTAGAACATTGCCGTATAGCCCGAAAAAACCTACAGCAACCCAACCATAACATTGTTTCTGTTGCTACTTCATAACTGTAATTTTGCTAATCGTAATGTAAATATCTGATAAGCAGGATGTATTTTCAGTCACTGGACCAAATTTGGCACAAATGAACGCCACCAAAAATGGAATTGAACCAAACTTGGCACACAGAACTCCCATGAACAACAGAAATACTGGAAGGCATTGGTGGGCATTGGCCTTGAATTTTGGAGTTGTAGTTCACCTACATCCAGAGAGCACTGTGGACTCAAACAATGATGGATCTGGATCAAGTTTGGCACAAATACTCAATATGCCCAAATGTAAACAATGGTAGAGTTTGGGGGAAATAGACCTTGACATTTGGAAGTTGTAGTTGCCAGGATTTATAGTTCACCTACAGAGAGCATTATGGACCCCACCAATGACAGAATTGGGCCAAACTTCCCACACAGAACCCCCATGTCCAACAGAAAATACTGTGTTTTATGATGGGCTTTAGTGACCCCTCTACCACCCCCTCATGACCCCCAGGTTGGGAAACACTGTTCTAATGGGGAAACAGGAGGCAGGACCTTCTCAGAAGCTGCAAAAATTGCTGACTGAGGTGTTGTCAAGTGTCACCCAAAAAAGCAATGTCTCCAAAGCCTGGATCTTAGCAGGGTTTCTGTCTTACCTGAAATATCTGACTTGTTGAACCAGAAAACCTTCTTGATGTCCTCCAGGTCCTCCCAGGATTCTTGGCTGTCAGAATACCCTCTCAGCTTGAGCTCTATCTTCCTAAAGGTGGTAGAAAAGGACAACCTTGCTGGGATGGCCAGGAATGGCTGTGAGTGCTTGAGAAGATGGAGCAGTGGCCACTTGCTCCCAACTCCTCCTCTTACCAAGATGTAATTTCTAAAGTCAGGATTGTGCCTGTGTGCTTCTTCCCAGAAGGGTCATTGTTTAGTCCCCAGAAACAAGGTGTGGAAAGGGCAGCCCTTTATATGTCCAGTGCTACCATCTTGTGATGGCTGATAGTTCAAATATTTACTGGAAAGTCAATAATGAAAAAGGATACTCTCCCTCCCCAAACAATCCTTCCCTTCTTTCCCACACAACTCACTTGCTTGTAGAGCGTTTAGCAAAAAGGGCTGCTTTGGAGAAGGAAAATCTGACATCTTTTTCTAGCTCCTCGATGGATGAGACATCCAAACAGTGGGGGACACCCTCGGCAAATATCTTCCACCTGTATGGAGAGAGAGGAATCCTAATTGTTCAGATCAGGAAGGCCTTCTTCTGTTCTGGGGGATTCTAGGAGTGATTGTCCCCAAGTGGTACTTCTCCAAGCTTGGACATTAAAAGGACTCATTGATGCCAACATCAGGAAGGTTTGCTTTTCCCATCAGAGAGAAAACAGAGGGAGGAAAAGGACAAACAGGTGTGCAGAGGTTGGGAACTTAGAACTTGCCATGTAGAGTTGAAATTTAGGTGGCAATTCTCATGAAGGTTTTTAAAATTGAGTCTTATCGTGTACCATCTCATTGGTTCACTTACCCATAATTAGACTGCCTCTTCTTAACCTCACCAATTCGGAAGTCTTTGAGTATGGGGAAAGTATCCATGGCAGGGGTTTTCGCTGGGGGAACAAACACAGGAAATGTTGCTTATATCTCCTTGTTTCATTCAACTAAGGGCCCTTCCACACAGCCATATAACCCAGAATATTGAAGCAGATAATCCACAATATCTGCTTCTTCTTTTTTGTGTGTCAGGAGCAACTTGAGAAACTGCAAGTCGCTTCTGATGCGAGAGAATTAGCCACCTGCAAGGATGTTGCCCAGGGGATGCCCGGATGTTTTGATGTTTTACCATCCTCGTGGGAGGCTTCTCTGATATTCCTGCATGGGGAGCTGGAGCTGAAAGAGGGAGCTCATCCGTGCTCTCCCTGGATTCGAACCTCCGACCTGTTGGTCTTCAGTCCTGCTGGCACAAGGGTTTAATCCATTGTGCCACCGGGGGCTCTGCTTTGAATTGGGTTATCTGAGTCCAAGCTTCCATATAATCCAGTTCAATGTGAATTTTATACAGCTGTGTGGAAGGTGTTAAGCTGAGATCGAATTGTTTGACTTCTAGTCTTTCTTCAAGTTTTCGCATGATTCCAAAAACTGACAAATGTCACTACGTAGAAGATAATCTTTTTAAGGATGCTAAATCAATAAAGCAGGTGTACTACACCGCCAAAAATATATGGCATGTCTTTATGGAATAGGCTCCAGCATCTCCTTGCAGCAAGTGGTAGAACTGGACCCTTAACAACAAATTCTATATAGGCTATACTCCGGGTCTTCATGAATGGATAATGGGCCTCCTTGGCTCAGCCTAGATAGATTGGATGGTGGTGTCCTGAGATTATGAAGAATGGAGCCAAACAAAGAACACTGAACTATTCAGAAGTGACCCAAGTTCTATACCAGGCATGGGCAAATTTCAGCCCTTCAGGTGTTTTGGACTTCAACTCCTACAATTCCTAATAGCCTTTCAGATGTTAGGAATTGTGGGAGTTGAAACCCAAAACACCTGGAAGGCTGGAGTTTGCCCATGTATGTTCTATATTAAAAACTATGAGAGCTGCACACGCAGGCTGCTAACAGGAATCTTTCTTTGCCCAGTCTGCTCCCATCTACCTTGTTATTCTTGGACCACCACAAGCCACCCATCAAACGTTAGTACATAGCCATTAACATTTGGCATTGACGCTGGGAAGGATAGAATCATACAGTTGGAAGAGACCTCATGGGCCATCCAATCCAACCCCTGTCAAGAAGCAGGAGAATTGCATTCAAAGCCACGGTGGTCCACGCTCTTGTTATTTATTTATTTATTTATTGATTTATTTATTTATTTATTTACTGCACTTGTAGACCGCCGTTCTCAGCCCTAGGGCGACTCACGGTGGTGTACAACATATAAAAACAGGTACAATTTGCAACATAAGCAATATCACAACAACAATAAACAACATCACTATCAATAATACAATTACACTAAATCATTCGCGACGTCTCATCATTGAATCACAATCCAAATCTCGTTATCCATGTTCCGTTCCAATCGTCATTGCCAATTGTTGCAGCACTTACTCAAACGCCTTCTCAAACAACCACGTCTTTAGTCTCTTGCGGAATGTCATAAGGGAGGGCGCCAGTCTGATGTCCACAGGGAGGGTGTTCCACAGCCGGGGGGCCACCACCGAGAAGGCCCTGTCCCTAGTCCCCGCCAGGCGTGCCTGTGAGGCAGGCGGGATCGAGAGAAGGGCCTCCCCGGACGATCTCAAAGTCCTCGTGGGCTCATAGGCCAAGATGCGGTCAGACAGGTATTTTGGGCCGGAACCGTTTAGGGCTTTGTAGGCCAACACCAGCACCTTGAATTGGGCCCGGTAGCAGATCGGCAGCCAGTGGAGCTGGTACAACAAGGGCGTTGTATGCTCCCTGCGTCCCGCTCCTGTTAGTAACATGGCTGCCGCGCGCTGGACTAGCTGGAGCTTCCGGGCCGTCTTCAAGGGCAGCCCCACGTAGAGAGCGTTGCAGTAGTCAAGGCGGGATGTGACCAGAGCGTGTACTACCGTGGCCAAGTCAGACTTCCCAAGGTACGGGCGCAGCTGGCGCACGAGCCTGAGCTGTGCAAATGCTCCCCTGGTCACCGCTGAGACCTGGGGATCCAGGCTCAACGATGAATCCAGGATCACACCCAAGCTGCGAACCTGCGCATCCCGGATAGATTACTGCAACGCACTCTACGTGGGGTTGCCTTTGAAGACTGTTCAGAAACTTCAATTAGTCCAGCGGGAGGCAGCCAGATTGCTCACCGGAGCATCATACAGGGAGGATACCACCCCCCTGTTGTGTCAGCTCCACTGGCTGCCGATCCAGTTCCGAGCACAATTCAAAGTGCTGGTTTTGACCTACAAAACCCTATACGGTTCCGGCCCAGCGTATTTGTCCGAACGCATCACCCTCTACGTCCCACCTCGGAGTTTGAGATCCTCTGGGGAGGCCCTGCTCTCGGCCCCGCCTCTGTCACAAGTGAGATTGGCGGGGACGAGGAGCAGGGCCTTCTCAGTGGTGGCCCCTCACCTATGGAATTCACTCCCCGGGGAAATTAGATCAGCGACATCCCTCCTTTCCTTTAGAAAGAAATTAAAAACATGGATGTGGGACCAGGCGTTTGGGCAATCTGGCAGATAAATAAAGGACTGCGACGACGGATAGGAATAGACAATGTGGAACGAAGTATGGACTCTGAGTTGGCGAACGCTGTGCTTGAGATTGGCTATTGACTGTGATATATATTGTTGTTTTAATTGTTTAACCGTTTAACTGCTGTTTTTATATGTTTATTATTGTGTAGGCATCGAATTGTGCCTTTTTGTAAGCCGCCCTGAGTCCCCCCTCAGGGGTTTAGAAGGGTGGGGTAGAAGTATACGAAATAAATAAATAAATAAATAAAGCACCCCCAACAGGTGGCCATCCAGCCTCTGTTTAAAAGCCTCCAAAGAAGGAGCCTCCACAACACTAGATGCTAGTGTGCTAGAAGCTATCTGTCTGATGAAAGAAGGTTCCAAGAAAGTTGATTGTAAATATCCCACCTAATCTCTTTGAGGGCACAGAGTTGGACAAGTGATTTTTGGTGAAGGTCATGAGAGGGACTTGGAAGCTGGATCAGACCTTAAAACCTCTTTAGGACCAACGTCCTCTGTCCAGTAATGATCAGCCAGATGTTTCCAGCGAGCCCAGAAGCAAGGCCTGAGTATCCTAGCACCTACCCAGTTGGTCCTCTCAATGGTTATTATTGAGAGACATGACAATATCAAGTAGTGAAGTAAATCCTACTTAACTTTTTTCTCCATTAGCCAGGATGGCAAGACTTCGGGCACATTTGTCAATGACCTTTCACATTTGGAGACGTGTTTTTGTATGTGCAAAATATATATTTATACAAAATCTAATTTGCAGTAGGGATAAATCCTCTTTCTCTCCCAGGAGACTGACTTACCGGTTCCCTCCCGCAGCTCCAAAGTCTGGGGCCCTTCCATCCACTGGTAGCACGGAAAATGGTAGGCCACCCCTTTGGGGGATGTCACGGTGATAAAACTGCAATACCAGTTTGTGGTGAAGAGTTCAATGGCACGTTCTTTGTGAAGACGGAGGAGCACAATCTCTCCTAGGTCACGTTCACAGGGGACTTCATAATCACTCACCTGGAACAGAAAAGTCAGAGGATCACTTGGGTAGTTACAGAGCAAAGGCTGGAAAGACACGTATCAGCTGTAGTTGACAAACATCACCAAAAATGGATGTATTATGTGCAAACAGGGAGTAGGGTTGCCAGAGTAGAAACAGGAGATGAAGCCTCTCACTTTAATTGTTACATAGAGGAAAGATTTTTCAGCAGCTGTTACCTGTCAGCCGGTAGAATGAGAAGCCACATCTCCTGAATTTTCCTCTTATGCATGACTATTAAAGCAGTGTTTCACAACCTGGGAGTTGGAGGTTTCAGAGGGGTCACCAAAGACCATCAGAAAACATATGTTTCTGATGGTGTTAGGATCACCTTTGGAAGAGAAGGACAAAGATCTCTCCGCCTGTCCTTCTCTTTCTTTTTGGAAACAAATGGCAAATCCTCCCACCAAAAGCCATCCTCTGCTGTGATTGGCCAGCCTCTCAGCCAGGGGGAGGGCTGCTTCTGAGACTCCAAGCATGGAGGGGAGAGCAGGCATGCTAAGGCACATAGCAGCATTCAGGTGCAGGTGAGGGAGAGTGTGATAGGCTGGAGAGAGGCTCATGTCAGCAAATCCCTTCAAGGCATGGGAGTTCTGTGTGGGAAATTCGACCCAATTCTATTGTTGGTGGGGTTCAGAAGGCTCTTTGATTGTAGCAACTACAACTCCCAAACGACAAGATCGATTTTCCACAAACTCCACCAATGTTCACATCTGGGCATATTGAGTATTTGTGCCAAGTTTGGTCCAGATCCGTCATTGTTTGAGTTCACAGTGCTCTTTGGATGTAGGTGAACTATAACTTCAAAACTCACAGTCAGTGCCCACCAAAACCTTTCAGTATTTCCTGTTGGTCATGGGAGGTTCTGTGTGCTAAGTTTGGTTCAGTTCCATTGTTGGTGGAGTTCAGAATGTTCTTTGATTGTAGGTGAACTATAAATCCCAGTAACTACAACTCCCACATGACAAAATCAACACCCACCCTTCCCAACCCACAAGTATTCAAATTTGGGCATATTGGGCATTTGTGCCAAATTTGGTCCAGTGAATGAAAATACATCCTGCATATCAGATATTTACATTGCAATTTATAACAGTAGCAAAATTACAGTTGTGAAATAGCAATGGAAATAATGTTATGACTGGGGGTCACCACAACATGAGGAACTGTATTAAGGGGTCGTGGCTTTAAGAAGGTTGAGAACCACTGTATTAAAGGGATAGAAACCCTCTCTATTTTTCATTCCAGCAACCCTGCCTCCTTAAGTTAATCTGTGACGTACATATGACAAAGCCTTCTCTGCAGCTGCCCCCAAATAGTAGAACTCTTTTCCAAGAAGAGTCAGACTCAGGCCCGTAGCCAGGATTTCATTTTGGGGGGGGGGGCTGAATTTTTTTCAGGGGGGGTTCGGGGGGGCTGAGTTTTGGGGGGGGCTGAGTCTGAGTGAAAGAGGGTCTACCCTAGCAAACCTTTTGTATCATTACCCCAATACCCCCATGCATATGGGATATATTGAGTATGGTGATCAGATCATGATATGAATAAACATAACAGTTTAAATAATCCACCAGTAAGGCCTTTTCGCGAACCACCATGAGAATTTCGGGGGGGGGGGGCTGAAGCCCCTCAAGCCCCCCCCCCCCCCCCCCGGCTACATGCCTAGTCAGACTGGTTGAATGTTCAGCAAGGAATGAAGTCTATTCTATTGTGCTTGGCCTTAAAATTATAATGCTTTCTCAAGTTGTTTTTAATCTAGTTTTTCATGATCTGGTTTTAAAGCAATTTTTAAGGAAGTGATTTGGAGCGTTTTAAATTATTTTTATAGTGACGTATTAAATGTTCTACAGAGCTAGCTTGGATTCGTAGTTTGAGTGTTGAATAAGCCAGGGTTTGAACCCCAATTCAATCACTGAAACCCACTGAGTGACGCTAGGCAAGTCCTACTCTCTCAGTGTTAGGAAAAGGCAATTGCAAACCTCATCCTGAATACATCTTGCCAAGGAAGTCCTAGGATCGGGTTGTCATAAGTCCAAATCTACATTTATTTATTTATTTATTTATCGAGTCAGGAGCAACCAGACAGTTGTATTACATTTTTAACAAAACAAACAAACAGACAGACGAAACACAAAATTTGCAAGTTTGGTGATTGATTAAATGTCCTTTGACCAGTATCTGGCCACTTGGAGTGCCTCTGGTGTTGCCGCAAGAAGGTCCTCCCTTGTGCATATGGCAGGGCTCAGGTTGCATTGCAGCAGGTGGTCAGTGGTTTGCTCCTCTCCACACTCGCATGTCATGGATTCCACTTTGTAGCCCCATTTCATGGGGCTGAAAGCTCATGAGCATGAGACATAACTGAACCAGTAAATACACTGACACAAATGCCAGTTGCAACAGAAACCACAGCGAGGAGTGTGCCGTTGAGGCAGGGAGTTGGTGTGTTTCACAACTTCAGTTATTCTTCCTGCAAACTGGTGCTTCGAGCCAAGTCTTTAGCAACAGCAGAGCAAAGCAGAATCTTAGTTGCACAAACACAACCAAACCCACTTTTATGGTTTTTGGGAAGAAACTGAATGCTCATCAGGAGCCTCATAAAAGGTGAGGGGAAAGGGTTGCTGAAACAGATGGGAAGGGAAAAACACACCCTGAGATCCCACATTGTCAGGCGTAACTATACTGACACTATGTTTGACCATGGCACCACCCAAAAAATGATCTTCCCAGCCAGACATTACCTCAATTGAAGGATTTTTGAGGTGCTGCAAATCAGGGCATTGAAAATGGATATCTGGGACTGCGGTAGAACAATTGGCTAAACCACTAGCTGAAAAAAAACTTTGCTGACCAGAAGGTTAGCAGTTCGAAGTCACAAGTCAGGGTGAGCTCCTGCTGTTAGCCCTAGCTCCTGCCAACCTAGCAGTTCAAAAACATGTAATGTGAGTAGATCAATAGGTACAACCTCGGCGGGAAGATAAAAGGTGTCCATGCAGCCATGCCGGCAAACATGACCAGGAGGATCTATGGACAATAGGCTCCTCAGCATGGAAAAATGGAACAAGAGCACCTCCCCATAGCCAGAATTGAGCATTGCCTCCAGACGCCAGAGATGGAAAGGGAAACATTTGCCTTTATTTGTGTATTATTCACTGTATAGAAGCCATTGAATGTTTGCCCATATATGTCTGTACTGTAATCCACTCTGAGTCCCCTCACAGAGATAGAGCGGAATATAAATAAAGTACATTATTATTATTATTATTATTATTATTATTATTATTATTATGTGATATATAACAAAATTAGTACACAGCAAACAAGACCACTGATAGCTTTTTTAAATCACATGTTGGACACTTCCCAAGTGTCTTGGACTGTGTGATGTATTGGCGAATAATGCGTGTTGATCCAAGTAGGGTGGCCTTTTTGCAGATGGTAATTTTGCCAGTGCCGATTGCTTTTAAGTGCAGGCCAAGGTCTTTAGGCACTGTTGCAGCATTTCCCTAGTGCATTTGTGTATCACTATAAGAACTCCAGTCATGAGTTTCTTTGGACTGCAGGTCCCATCAGCCACAGCAAACATTACTGTTGGACAGGATTATAGGAACCACAGTCCAAAATGTTTTGACCCAAAACTTGGTGGGATCAACCACCTGATATGACATGGGTAGCTACCATTCATGTGGGTAGCAGTCTCTCCTTGGCGAAGAAGGGAACTGTAGTCCCAAAACATCTGGAAAGGGAAGGCCAGTGAAAGAGGTCTAGGCTGGAAGTGGATCTCTAAAATGAAGAGGCACTGGGTCAACCAGAACACAAGGCTCCATATCAGTTGGATAGTGAATCTGCTCCAGGTAGTAGCTTGCAAGTATTTATTCCAAACGGAACAGGGATGGAATATTTGAAAATATTCCCCTTCCCATAAAAAATTATTAAAACATTGTTTTTGAAGTGTCAAGAAACTCTAAACTGTCACAGTTTGGGACCTATTCTATGTAAAATTCACATTGGATGGTGAATCTTCTCCAGGTAATAGCTTGCACTTCAAGTAATTATCCCAAACAGAACAGGAATGGAAGGAATATTTGAAAATACTCCCCTTTCCACAAATAAAATAAAACATTGGTTTTGAAGCATCAGGAAACCCTGAACTATCATAGCTTCGGACCTATTATATGCAAAATTCGCATGTGACTGTTTTACTCCAAAAGCAGCATTTCTGTACAGAAAAAAAAATCTGGACAGAAAATACTGTTTTCTGAGCAAAACTATCATTGGAAAATACCACTACCTCTGAGGATGCTTGCCATAGATGCAGGTGAAATGTCAGGAGAGAATGCCTCTAGACCATGGCCATATAGCCCGAAAAAACCTACAACAACCCACTATCATTGGAAAAGTTTTCACTGAATAAACTGCAAATCGTCTTTGAAAAACTGCTGTTTGCAAGGGTTTTCTCACAGTATTTATGCACTGAGCTGTCCTCTCCCTTCCACTTGACAATTAGTACACTGCTAAAAGTGTGAAAATATAGCTGTTTCACAAAAGCATTTTGTGAAATGTACATAAAAATGAAAATAAACAATGTTCATTCGGAGTTCAGGCAAATTCAGAAAGCAATTGGATAGTGTCATTTCGCTAACAAAAACCTTTTATCACTTTCAGAACCACTGTTTCACTCTCCATTACGTGTCAGATTGGATCCTGCTTGTGTATGGTACTGCACAAGTTGTTATAACTTCATTAGGCTATGCATTTTCATCCCATGCCTTTGTTCTTTAGCTACAATTTGCACAATTCCATTCCCTTGTCTTGTTTACAGTTTGGCCATGTCTTACGGCAGTTGTCACCATAGGTCAGGGTTTCTCAACCATCCCAATGCTGCAATCTCTTAATGCAGTTCCTCATGTTGTGGTGACCCCCAATCATAACATTATTTTCATTGCTACTTCATAACTGTCATTTTGCTACTGTTATGAATTGTCATGTAAATATCTGAGATGCACAAATTTGGCACAAATACCCAATACATCCAAATTTGAATACTGGTGGGGTTGTGGGGTGATTGATTTTGTCATTTAGGAGTTATAGTTGCTGGGATATATAGTTCACCTACAATCAAAGAGCATTCTGAACTCCACCAACAATGGAATTGAACCTAACATGGCACACAGAACTCCCATAACCAACAGGAAATACTGGAAGGGTTTGGTGGGCATTGGCCTTGAGTTTTGGAATTGTAGTTCTCCTACATCCAGAGAGCACTGTGAATTCAAACAATTATGCATCTGGACCAAACTTGGCATGAATACTCAATATGCTCAAATGTGATACACTGGTGGAGTTTGGGGAAAATAGAATTGACATTTGGGAGTTGTAGTTGCTTGGATTTATAGTTTTCCTGCAATCAAAGAGCATTCTGAACCCTAGGAATGATAGAATTGGGCCAAACTTCCCACACAGAACCCCCTTGACCAACAGAAACTCTGTTTTCTGATGGTCTTTGGTGACCCCTCTGATACCCCTTCGTGACCCCCCCACCAGGAGTCCCAACCTCCAGGTTGAGAAACATTGCCATATGTTACTGAATGTTGTTCTGAGTTTTAAATTGTTGTTTTATATACTATCATTCTTACATTTTTTAATTGTATTTTCTGTTTAATTTATGTGTTGTTTTTAGGCACCTTGTGTCATATGTAAGCCGCCTGAGTACGTTTGGGGAGATGGAGGTGAGGTACAAAAATAAAGTTGTTGTTGATGTTGTTGTTATTATTAGTTGAGAGAAAATTGTGAAAATTACTGCTCAGAGAACCAAGGGAATTACATCTCTTGGTTCAGCACCTTGGATGGCTCTTTTGGAGTGCAGATAAAGAACAAAAGCGAATTTTTATTTTATTTATGTATTTCCAAGATTTGTACCCCGTCCTTCTCAAACCCTGAGGGGGGATTCAGGGTGGTTTACAACAGCAACAATTTGATGCCAACACATACAAAAACACAATACAACATGACGTTACAGAGTAGGTAAAAACATTAGGTTAAAATCCATTTGAAACATTATTATCAACCATATTGCCATATCCAAGTCTGATTAAGTGACCAACGACCCAATCCAGAGCCTGTCCATAGTCAGTTTGCAAAACATTGCAATTGCTGTCAAGCCTGTTCCCCAAATGTCTGGTCCCAAAGCCATGTTTTGAGCTTATTCCTAAAGGAAAGAGAGGATGGAGCTGACCTAATTTCACTGGGGAGAGTGTTCCACAGGTGGCCTCAATTTGCAGCCCCAGTAATATAGGACCTATATGATTGCATCCACTACAGCAAATCAGGGCAAACTTTGGCCCTCCAGGTATTTTGGACTTGAACTCCCACAATTCCTAACAGCCGGTAGATTGTAAGGAATTGTGGGAGTTGAAGTCCAAAACACCTGGAGGGCTGAAAGTTGCCCAGGCCTATGCTACAGTATCTCCCTGCAAGGCCCTAACGTCTAATCTGACTAATCTCATTGGTAGGACAGGACTAGAGATAGAAATCTTCATATTCAGCTAATAATCTGGGCAAAGGAGAACCATTCTACTTTCCCACCATCTAGCAGATGAGGCTGCAACAAGGGATGGAGATGAGATCCTGGTTCTGATTGGCACCCCAAGGATTCAGACTGCGCTGATCAGAACCAGGATCCCATCCCAATTCCTTACTCATTGATGGGAAGGAGGTGGAAAGGTCATCCTATCTAAACCCTGATTTCCAGCTAAATAAACCTCTGTCTCTCATGAGACATTCTTTGGTAAAGTATATTGAAATTAGGAGTTTTCATAATTAATCACGCAATGCAGGACACGGCCCTATGTTTTTAATATGTGTTGGGATGATAACATCTTTATTGTTTAATGTTTATATTCTCGTGGTGTCATCTGCCTCTCATGTCTTCCTGGCATCAATATACAGTCATAATGTCTGCGCTATCAGACGTTTCAAAACGAAAGAGAAATGGAGTGGATCCAACATCTTAAAGATATAGCGCAAAGATGTCTCAAATTAATTTTGGTGCGACATTACATCAAAGGTGTCTTACTATACAGAAAAACCTTTGCTACAATTACGTAAAACCTACTTCATACAGCACGTAACGAGTAAATATTAATTGGAAATCCTCCTTATGCAAGTCAGTTATACAACAAGAGAGGGAAAATATATGTCCAGGGGGTGGAAGTATGCATACCAAACTGTTTACCATCATGTTTTAACAAGGAAAGGCAGATTGGGAAAACCATAACAATGTCAGTTTCAGGCATGTCTGGAACCATCATTCGAAATACCGAGAACATTTCTTTGAGGAGAAGTAACTTCCCAGGCTGTCTAGAAGACCAGACTTTATTTTTACCTTGTCAGAAAGTCAATATATTGCAACTGTATACATACTTTTCTGAGAGTAAGATCCACTGAATTCAGTGGAGGTGATTCTGAGTGGCAAATGATGCCAAGGTTTGATATGATGGTGATAGCTGTTGTTACTGTTGTGGGTTTTGAGATGATTCCAACCACAGGGTGGATTGTTGTGAGTTTTTTGGGCTGTATGGCCATGTTCCAGAAGCATTCTCTCCTGATGTTTCACCTGCATCTATGACGGGCATCTATGGTGGACATCCTTAGAGGTTGTGAGGTTTCCTAGTTTCCAACAGACCTCACAACCTCTGAGGATGTCTACCATAGATGCAGGTGAAATGTCAGGAGAGAATGCTTCTGGAACATGGCCATACAGCCCAAAAAAGTCACAACAACCTAGAGATTCTGCCCATGAAAGCCTTCAACAATATAAAGTTAGGGTTCTTTTTAACTAAAATATCCAGAATCCCCAGACAACTATTTGGGGATTCTGGGAATTATAACTCAAGAGCAAACTTTTTCAAAGTTTGTTTCCAGCATTGTATCGGAGCACTGCTGAGAAATGTCTTATAATAATACTAATCATTGTTATTATTATTATTCCAGCATGCACAAACACAAAGACCAAAATTCAATGCTTAGAAACAACAAACCACAGATAAAGGTAATGGATTCCCCTTCCGGCTCTGAGGGGTGGTGCTGACCTCTGGCTCTGGGGTGTGTGCTCATCTCCAATTCTAAGCCAAAGAACCTGCATTGTCCATAGACACCTCCAAGGTCATGTGGCCAGCATGACTGCATGGAGCACCATTTAGCTTCCCGCCAAGGTGATATCTATTGATCTACTGACATTTGTAGGTTTTCGAACTGCTAAGTTGGCAGAAGCTAGGGCTAACAACAGGAGCTCACCCCATCATGTGGATATTTATTTATTTCGGACACTTTTACCCCACTTTTCTCAACCCCTGGAGTGGGGGCTCAGGGCGGCTTCCAACTGGCAACAATTTGATGCTGCATAATAAAATAGCAAACACCAATAATTATAATAGTTAAAAATATTAAAACATTAAAACAATATACTTACTGTTTACTGAACTATTGCCAGTCTGGTGGCCATTGTCTAGCCGAATTCTATGATTGAGTACTCCATTTAACTTATCCATAATCCATTTCCAAACCATTGTCAACATTGCCATTGTCATTTCCGCCTAATTACCCGAAGGCCTGGTCCCACATCCTTCAGGTAATTAGGCAGAAATGACAATGACAATGTTGACAATGGTTTGGAAATGGATATGAACTACCAACCTTCCAGTCAGCAAGTCCAGCAGCTCAGTGGCTTCACCCATTGTGCCATAGGCTGGATAGATAGATAGATAGATAGATAGATAGATAGATAGATAGATAGATAGATAGATAGATAGAGATATATTGCTCTATGAGTACCAGGTTGCCCTCTGATGCAAGTGGCCCACTTTTCCCACACTCACCGATCCAGTGTGGAAATCCACACCCCAGTTGTCCATGGCAGTTTTGGGGCTCTCTCCCTTGGTGCCCACCAAAGTGATGGAAATGGAGTCAAGCGTCCCCGAATGGATGAAATTCCCTGTTGTCACCCGGACATTGTACACGGTGGCCATATTGCTGGGGATCAGTTCCTGCAACCCAGAAGGAGGTGGAAAACTCGGTCTGTCCTGCAACTCTGCCACGAGCCTTCTCCACGGAGGAGAGATGTGTGCCAGTCTTCATCTGCCTTGGGGCCCCACCCTTTTCCCTGCAATGGGCCCTCCCCTAGAAAGAGAGATGGGCCAAGAACCATGCCACTTCTTGGGTACCAGGAGCACTAAGGTGGGCCTTTGGAGGAAGAGCTTTGTCCGCGTTCTGGGGGTGGCCTTGGATTATTCCACTCTGCACCGCAAACTAGAAGATTCCTTCTGCAGGAAAGAGATAACTTCAGTAGAAAATGGTCCAGAAGTGCTGTTTATACTGTTTATTTGATTATTACATGCCCCCGCAGCATTTGTTAGGGAGGGTGTGGTATGTCAGGAGCAAGCCATGAGACAAAGCAGCCAGCCAAGGAAAGAAAGAAAGGCTGCCAAAAGGAGAATGGAGAAAAGGGAGCCAAAGAAGAAGAAGAGAACAGAGATGATAAAGGAGAATAAAGTCATAGACCAGGGGTTCTCAACCTTCTTCATGCTGCGGCCCCTTAATACAATTCCTAATGTTGTGGTGACCCCCACCCATAAAATTATTTTCCTTCCTATTTCATAACTGTCATTTTACTGTTATCAATCATAATGTAAACATGAGATATGCAGGATGTATTTTCATTCACTGGACCAAATTTGGCACAAATACCTGATATGCCCAAATTTGAATACTGGTGGGGTTGTGGGAGAGTTGTGGTTGCTGGGATTTGTAGTTCACCTGCAATCAAAGAGCATTCTGAACTCCACCAACAATGGAATTGAACCAAACTTGGCACAAAGAACTCCCATGATCAACAGAAAATACTGGAAGGGTTTGTTGGGCATTGACCTTGAGTTTTGAAGTTGTAGTTCGCCTACATCCAGAGAGCACTGTGGATTCAAACAATGATGGATCAGGACCAAATTTGGCACAAATGCTTAATATGCCCAAATGTGAACACTGGTGGAGTTTGGGGGAAATATTCCTTGACATTTTGGGAGTTGTAGTTGCTGGGGTTTATAGTTCACCTACAATCAAAGAGCATTCTGAACCCCACCAATGACAGAATTGGGTCAAACTTCCCACATAGACCCCCATGAACAACAGAAAATAGTGTGTTTTCTGGTGGTCTTTAGTGACCCCTCTGACACTCCCTCGTGACCTCTACAGTGGTCCCGATCCCCCGGTTGAGAACCACTGCCATAGACACACAGTGGAAGCTTCTGAAGAATGCTGCATATCCTCCAACACCCTTAATCCAGGAATCACAATTACTCATCCTCTGTTGTCCCACTTTTCCCAATGCTTTTAAAACATCCTGGTTTCTGACTCTTTGTCCCGCATTCTCCCTTATTCCTCAGCCATATTTCAAGTGATGTAAACTATGTTCAACATGTAAAAGTAGTTATTTATTTATTTACTGCATTCATAGCCTGCCTTTCTCAGCCTTACAGCGACATGTCTGGAGAACAAACCCTATGAGGAGCAGCTTAAAGAGCTGGGCATGTTTAGCCTGCAGAAGAGAAGGCTGAAAGGAGATATGATAGCCATGTATAAATATGTGAGGAAGTCATAGGGAGGAGGGAGCAAGCTTGTTTTCTGCTTCCCTGGAGACTAGGACGCAATGGAACAATGGCTTCAAACTACAAGAAAGGAGATTCCATCTGAACATTAGGAAGAACTTCCTGACTGTGAGAGCTGTTCAGCAGTGGAACTCTCTGCCCCGGAGTGTGGTGGAGGGCTCCTTCTTTGGAGGCTTTTAAACAGGGGCTGGATGGCCATCTATCAGGGGTGCTTTGAATGCAATTTTCCTGCTTCTTGACGGGGGGTTGGACTGGATAGCCCATGAGGTCTCTTCCAACTCTAGGATTCTATGATTCAAGGCAGGTTAAAGAATTGGCAGAATTTGATGCCATACATTAATAAAAAATACCGTCAAAAACATTCAACCTTATTATTTTTTTAAAAAAATCATATAAAAACCATTAAAAACATAATCACCAGTGTCGTTCTGTTGAAATCATTATCCAGCAGCAGCATCTAGCCATTCCGTGCTCATTCTTCCTATTTTGTAATTATTTTGCACCCAATTCATTCCTTGCAGAGTAAGGAGTGAGTAAACCTCCAGGAAACCCGGGCGGAATCTTGTTCTTTCCAGGAAGGTCATGCAAAAGCAAACTCTTTTTGCAGCCTCTTGCTTGTTCTTCCTCGGAGACCCCATTTGCCACCTGGAGCGCACTCTGGGGTTGCCTATCCTGCAAAGACCCAGTTTTTGTGCCCAAAATGCTGGAATCTGTGCATTCATTCAGGGTGTGGCGCTGCCAAGAAAGAAGGGATCTTTCAGGGCAAGGAGGGTGAATTGCAAGCATGATGTTGCATAATGTTAATTCCCTTATGAGAAGAGCCAAGCCAGCTTGCAGTGGTGCAGAGTTGCTTCAAGCTAAGACTCCTTGGAGGCTGGCACTGGGTAGTTATGGGGCCTATCTGCAACATAAAGGAAGGGACAGAAACATTTCCCAAAGAGTACCACGCACTGCCATCACTGTTTCTGCTTGGCTGGCAGAAATATTCAACATGGAGGACTCTATGTCATGCCTCTGGCTCTAAGAACATGAATCAAACAGTTATTTGGAAAGAGGTGCCTCTTCAGGGACTATGTTTCCAATGTGTAATGTTCAAGGAATTAGCATGACATGCTTTGAGAACAAAAGCAGAAGCAAAATCTGTATCATTGTGACACACAAACAATTCACAAAACCATGGAGTTGGAAGAGACAACAAGGTCCAACCAGTCCATGCAAGAATACCCAATCAAAAAACCTGGTAGATGGCCATCCAGCTTCTACTTAATCAAAAGGATTGTATCATCTAGATCAAGCATGGGCAAACTTCGACCTTCCATGTGTTTTGGACTCCAAGTCCGATTGGCTATTAAGTATTGTGGGAGTTGAAGTCCAAAACACCTGGAGGGATGAATCATAGAATCATAGAATCAAAGAGTTGGAAGAGACCTCATGGGCCATCCAGTCCAACCCCCTGCCAAGAAGCAGGAATATTGCATTCAAATCACCCCTGACAGATGGCCATCCAGCCTCTGTTTAAAAGCTTCCAAAGAAGGAGCCTCCACCACTCCGGGGCAGAGAGTTCCACTGCTGAACGGCTCTCACAGTCAGGAAGTTCTTCCTCAAGTTCAGATGGAATCTCCTCTCTTGTAGTTTGAAGCCATTGTTTCGCGTCCTAGTCTCCAGGGAAGCAGAAAACAAGCTTGCTCCCTCCTCCCTATGTCTTCCTCTCACATATTTATACATGGCTATCATATCTCCTCTCAGCCTTCTCTTCTTCAGGCTAAACATGCCCAGCTCCTTAAGCCGCTCCTCATAGGGCTTGTTCTCCAGACCCTTGATCATTTTAGTCACCCCCTCTGGACACATTCCAGCTTGTCAATATCTCTCTTGAATTGTGGTGCCCAGAATTGGACACAATATTCCAGGTGTGGTCTAACCAAAGCAGAATAGAGGGGTAGCATTACTTCCCTAGACCTAGACACTGTGCTCCTCTTGATACAGGCCAAAATCCCATTGGTTTCGGGGGGGGGGGGGCGAATTTTTCAGGGGTTTTTTGGGGGGGGCTGAGTTTCGGGGGGGGCTGAGTCTGAGTGAAAGAGGGTCTAGCCTAGCAAACCTTTTGTATCATTACCCCAATACCCCCATGCATATGGGATATATTGAGTATGGTGATCAGATCATGATATGAATAAACATAACAGTTTAAATAGTGCACCAATAAGGCCTTTTCGCGAACCACCATGAAAATTTCGGGGGGGGGCTGAAGCCCCCCGAGCCCCCCCCCCTCCCGGCTACATGCCTGCATTTGGGCATATTTAGTATTTGTGTAGAGTTTGGTCCAGATCCATCATTGTTTTGAGTACATGCCTGGGTGCAGGCCAAAATTCCATTGGCTTTTTTGCCGCCACATCACATTGGCAGGCCGAACTCATGTTTAACTTGTTGTCCACGAGGACTCCAAGATCTTTTTCACACGTACTGCTCTCAAGCCAGGCATTGTCCCACATTCTGTATCTTTGCATTTTGTTTTTCCTGCCAAAGTGGAGTATCTTGAAGTTTGCCCATGCCTGGTCTAGATCAAGGGAAGTCATGGTGCCTCTCTATTTGGTTTCACCTGGAATCCTGTATCCAATTCTGGGCACCACAGCTGAAAAGAGATATTGACAAGTTGGAAGGTGTCCAGAGGAGGGCAACTAAAATGATCCAAGGTCTGGAAACCATGAATCCCTCTGAGGATTAAAGAGCTGGGTCTGTTTAGCCTCAAAAGAGAAGGTTGAGACAAGACATGAGAGCCATATATAAATATGTGAAAGATTGTCATAAGGAAGAGGGAGCAGGTGTGTTTTCTGCTGCCCTTGAAACTCGGACTCAGAGCAATGGGTTCAAGTGACAAGAAAGGAGATTCCAATGAACATTAGAAAGAACTTCCTGAAGAGCTATTCAGCAATGGAACTCTCTGCCTCAGAGTGTAGTGGCAGGTCCTTCCTTGGAGGCTTTTAAACAGAGGCTGGATGGTCATCTATCAGGGGTACTTTGATTGTACTTTTCCTGCATGGCAGATTGAGGTTGGACTAGATGACCCATGTGGTCTCTTTCAACTCTATGATTCTATGATTATACTTAAAAACTTCCAAGAAGGAAACCCCACTAGTCTTCCAGGCAGTATCTTCCCCTTTTGAATAGCTCTAATCATCCAGAAGTTCTTTCTAATGTCTAGATGGGATCTCTTTTCAAGGCCACTATTTGTTCTTGTTGTGTGCCTTCAAGTTGGGTTTCTAAACGTTGTAAGACACTTTGAGTCCTGAACTGGAAGAAAGGAGAGATGTTATGCTGAAAGAGGAGAAATTGTTTATGTACCTATTTGGACAACTGGAGTTCCCGGAGGTGCACTGGGTTAATCACTGAGCTGCGGAACTTGTTGACCAAAACGTCGCAGGATCGAATCCGGGGAGCAGGATGACCTTCCGCTGTCAGCCCCAGCTTCTGCCAATCTAGCAATTCAAAAACATGCAAATATGAGTAGATCAATAGGTACCTATCCAGCAGGAAGGTAACGGCACTCCATGCAGTCATGCAGGCCACATGACCTTGGAGGTGTCTATGGACAACACCGGCTCTTTGG